TGTGCTTGCCAGTATTCTGACAGCACTGTGTCCCAAAACAGTGTTCTGTTAGGACTTGACTGCTGCACAATGAGCAAGATTCTTCCATGAGGGTCCAAATTTAGGCCCTGCAGCAAACTGGTCCAAACTGTTAATGGTGTTGAGGTTAAGAAACCCTGGTCTGTAGCATAGTGCAAAGGAAAAGGCAATGTTTACGACAAAACTCCTGCTTCCCATGAATGGACAATCTATTTGGAGATAAGCATAAGATAAATAATAAAAAGGATCTCACTGTACAATGTGTAAGTGCCAATTACAAAGCCTTTAACCTATGTTCTCTGACACAGCTTAAGTGCTATAGAAAGGAGAGTCAATGCTGTGTTCTACATCAAAGGAAACTCAGCATGAGTAGCAACATAAATGTTGTGAATCCTAAAGGATTTGGACAGGCAAATGCAAAAGGATATTTTAGGTGGATTGAGATATGTAAGCAGATATTCAGTGATCATAAACAGCAAGCAGGGCTTTCAGGGCAATAAATAACCAGCTCAGCCAATGTGAAGTTTGTGTGGCAATCCAAGAAAATACTTTCTTTTGCCTGTCTAGTAGGCTAAAGTGGCCAATGGAGACCTGGCTCTGTCATCTTAGCTGGACAGAAACCAGTGTGTGGGCTCAAAACTGGGATTTCGAACCTTTTAGGTGTTCCTGTAGAATTCAGACACTAAAATGCCTGTCACACAATCATGGTCCACGGATGACAGCTCCTAGAGCAAACATCAAGGGAAGACAGGTTGAACTGGAACTTTGAAGAAACTAAAGTAACAGGCTGGGAATTTATTTTAATCCTATTGTCTGGGTGTCATTGAACTTCAATATAAAGGCAGTGACAGGATGGAAATAATGCTTTAATCAGAATCTAGGTAGGTGATGCGCAAGTGGTCACTAGTCTCAGCTTTTCTGAATCGCTAACATGTTTTAAAAGTATATTTTTTCTATTTTTTTTTTCAAATTCTTCATTTCATTTCTCCAAGAATTTAGGTTCATCTGAAAACTTGGCCCCTATTTGCTCATTGTTGCATCTTCGGGAATCAGAACAGTACCTGGCACACAGTAGCTATCAGCAAATTATTGTTGAACAGTGTAGCTACAAAATACAAAGTGAAAAGGGCAGAATCATAGTGGTAGCAATGAGGTGGAGAGCTAGGGACAAAAGCAATGTTGGTAAGATTTGCTGATTTGGAAATAGGGAAGTTAGAGTAAAAACTTAAGTGATGGGATTTTGGTGGCACCAACTGCTAAACAGAAAAGATACAGATCTGGAGAAGAAATGGTTTGTTTTGTGAGTACCAGAATTATAGAGAGGGAGTAGGCCAGTGAATTAAACTTGACAAAACTTTAAGAGCAATGTAGCAAAGGGGACTGCTAAGGTTAGCAAAGTTAATAAGAAGGATGAAGGGCAGAAACTGAAGAAGGACCTCTGTTTAACAAAGTGACATTTCAAAATTAAGTAAATAGTTTTTGAGGATGTAGGGAGGAGAGTCACAAACTAGCTACTCAAAAATTACTTTACCAGTACATCATTTTGTTTGGTCTGCATAGTTCAAGCCCATTTGGAATTTAAAAATTAACATTAACAATTAAAAATCAGAAACTACATAAAAATTGTGTTTTTTTAATTGTCTTAAATAAACACTAAGTGGTCAACTTAAGGTCTTTGTTTCTTTACACAGGACTGGATGGAGCTGAGCACGGGTTTCCACCTATCTTGAAATGACTTCATCTTACGGCTCAATTCAGTATTTCACTTGTGCTATCCCCCTGGCTCGTATAGATATTAGAGTTTGAAGTTCCTGGTCTAGTGGCACTTGGTCTATGTTGACAACAATGATAACAATAAAACTGGTAACAGTAATAACAGCAAAGCACTTAGCTCCACACACTGTTCTATGTATGCCACAGAGGTCTTTTACCACTAGAGGGACATACTGCTATTGTTCGACTGCAAAGACAAAAAAACTTAAGAAAGCTGTTAAAGGGCCTGTCTAAATGTCAACAGCCAGCCAGTGGAAAGTGAGATAAAAACTGTCAGAGCTGTTGCCAGACAGGATTCGATTTCAATGGTAATAAGTTACTCTGCATGGACCCGAGTCTTTTTCCAAAAGCAAGCATTTCTGCTTTAGCCAAAAACTTCTACTCTTTGTTTCAGTGTGTCCAGAGACACATATACCCTATGCGACTGTGTGCAGTTAAACATTTTCCTTCTTCAACCTGTGCATAGCAAATCTCTGGTGAACTCCAGTTGAATTCCTCACCACAAAGCATGGACTTCGTGGTACGGAGGGCAGGTGGTAGTGGTAGAGACCTGATCTCACTTTTACAGTATGTTTTATAAAACGCTAAGATATGACTAACCTTAAGAAGAATATTTTCTAACAAGATATGAAACAAACTCAAAAGGTTTTTAAGGACATTTAGAAAGAAACACGGGGATGGTTATGATTGGAAGTTGTAACACTCCAGGCTGAGGAGACACAAGAAATCAAGAGTAAGGAGGACCACCACCTGGTGGTGTTCAGCTGGGGGCCCTAGTAGAGGTAACACTGGGCACTCTGAGCTGAAGAAAATTGACTTGACTGATGAGACATTCTGTAGAATATACATGGAACAGAATGAAAAATTTGGGAAAAGTGAGAATTGGATTGGAAAATAAGCAGTAGGGCTCTAAAAAATCACAAGGCATAAAAGCAGCCATGAAATTAAGGAGTTAAGTCAAATCAAGAGCAGTGTAAACAAGGCATTTAAGAATCAAAAACTCACTCATAACAATTAGAGGTCCCTGCTACTGTAGTATGTTTTTTTCCTGACAACACACTTGAGAAATGTGAAGTAAGTGGTATGATATAAACAGCAGGTTGCCTGAGTTAAAAGGATATATACATCTGGAAAAGTATTTTAAGTGACAAAGAATTACTCCATCACACCTTAACTCTAGAAAACCCACTCATTTTCTGTGTAAATACCGTAATACAATTTTTAAAGAAATTATAATATTATTATAGGTGGGATGAAAGAAATCACTTAATAATGCACCAGTCAATGAGCCTGAATGTCCTTCTAAGTCTTTGCTGTGTAGTGGGGGGTCCCAGGGTGGGGAGAAGACAACTATTTGTTCTGTGCCCATTTTGTGTTACATACTAGTATAGGCCTTTTGACTTCACTATCTCATTTAATCATCACAACCATGTAAGGTAGACAAGGTTAAGAATTTTACAGATGAATTTGAAAGTGAGAGAAGGATCACACAGCTGCTAGATGCCACAGCAGATAAACACTTCTTTTAAGCTTTTATCCTTTACACCTGTTTTGCAATGACGCTGATTGGGGTTAAAAACTGACCTTGGGAGTTAAGAATTATGAGGCTAATTAGCCTTTCTGGACCTTGGTCTCTTCTTTTGGGAGACAATGCCAATTCTCATAGGGTTGTTTATTTAAATTAGTTGATTTGTTCATTCATCCGTCCAATTAGGCCATGGAACAAGGAAGGGAAGAAATGGTGGACAGAGGTGGTAAGAAAGTCAATGGATCAGAAGTTTGGATGAGGTGAAAGAATTCTTAGAATAAATAGTAGTATCAAAACAGGTGATGTGGGGGATGGAAAATTCACTTTTGTTCACTGTTTTACCTGAAGTACATAGAACAAACGTAGGCATATAGTAAAAGTTAATTTTAAGTTATATTTTTAAATCAATTCACTTCAATAGCTTTTTAAGGTCTTAATTGAGGCATGGTAGCACATTCCTGTAATCCCAATTACTTAGGAGACTGAGGCAGGAGAAAGGCAAGTTTGAGGCCAGCCTGGAAAAACCACAAAACACAAAATAAAATAAGTATTAAGATCTTAAGTGCTCAGAAAAAAAAAGTTTCTTATTTTTCACATTTAAAAGTTATAAGCTAAAGTTAAAATAAAGAAAGTAAACTAAGATTTCTAGTCTAGATTAGCACTCCTTTAGGACTCAAGAACCAACAAGCTCCTTAAATCTAACTGCTTAGCTAGTTCTTTTAAATGCCTGTGATGATCTCTTCTGAGACACTCACTACCTGGCAACCATCATAGTAGAGAAACGCTAAAGAAGACATCTTTTTCTAAGCTATTGTATGCAATTAATATTTTTTTGAGGGGAGCAGGTAAGTTTATTTACATGGACTTTATTATTAACTATGCTAAATTTTAAATAACAAAAATGAAAGACATTTTGAATCCGGGGATGCCTAAAGGCTAACATTAAGATGGTGGTCCCAGTAGTCTTGAGCCCAGACATTGACTAGAATGGACTATATCTACTTTTAAAGCAGGGAAGCACAAGAAGTTCACTTAGTAAATAGAGTTAAATACTCATCACCAAATCTAAGATCTCAGAGGTGATATTTTATTTCAATGGTAATAAATAATATGGTCACATAATAATTAGTAAAGTTACAATGATGGGAACTTTAAAAAATCTTATAAAAAATTGGAATTATATCATAGGTTTTTTGTATATCTCATGACCATATGTTTTTCAAAGACATATTAATCCAAATTAAATACACATTAACTCACCAATGATAGAAATTCAGGGCCGAGAAATAGAAGAGTTTTCATTTAACATATGTGGTAGTTCAGAGAGAAAGAACTGTTACCAAACAGAGAAATAATTTTACATAATATAGCCATGCATCATTTTAAAGACTAACAAATACCCTGCTTCACCAAAATACTTGAGAAAAAAATTACACATTACCTAATTTGTTTGACATAATATGAAACTTGTAATAAATCCTCTACTCTGAAAAAAAATGTGGTAACTTGTAAAAAGTTCATAACATTTCATTACTAAAGTAAAAATACTAAATTAAAATGGTTCATCTATTTTGGTCTTCAGTGAGACACAAAAAGCCACTAATCATTATAGTACATTTTTAAGTAACTAAAAACATTATTTTCAGGAAAAACTATTTTGTCAATGAAAAGAAATCACTGATTCAATAAGCATTTGATCATTTTATTCACAAAATATAAGTAAGACTTAACATCCTCCTTCTGTTGAGACTTTTCTCTCCCAATAATTTTATGTGGAGGGCCTTGAAATATATCAATTACAAAACATGTTGAAAACATTTTTAAAATTTACAAATACAAACCAGTACTTTATACAAGAGTTCTCTACAAAGTTTGTTAATCAATGTAAAAAATACTTTGTTTGAACTGAATATAAGGCATGTTCAGTTTATGTTATTCTGTAGAATCATTTTTGCCTCGTTGGAGATTTTTCTCTTCGCCGGTCCTGATTTTTCTTTGATTCTCTGGAATGTTCAGAGTATCTCCCAGATTTTTCCCATCGTCTCTCGGCACCATTCTGATACCTATCCTCATCACTTTTAGAGCCCGAATGTTTTCTATTCTTTTCCCTTGACTTTGATCTATCTTTTCTTCTAAAATTTTCACTGTCCTGATTTTGGAGTCTGTGTTTCTCATTTTCAGAAAAAGAATTTCTTCTCTCTCTTCTCTTCTTTTTTGGATCACCACGTCTATTTTCCAAATCAATGTACATGTCCTCATCTCGGTTATTCCCAACTCTACTATAATTATTTCCATCGGAAGGAATACTTCTGTCTGACATGTGTTTTGTTATGGGATCTCTCCAATTCAGATCTCTTGAATTTTGACTTCTTTGTTTTTCTGACCTTCTTTCTCTCTCAGTCCTTGTTTCCTGGTGCTTTTGTTCTGGTCTTCTTTCTTCTTGTCTCCTATCATTTGTTTGTTGGTTCCTGATTGATTTATCTACTTCTTTACTTCTAGTCTTCCCTTGTCCCTTCTTTCTTACATCTTTAGCTGCATAGGTAAAATGAAATATAGTTACTTTTTATTTTAATCTTAGTTCATAATTTAACAATAACATTTACTGATACATCATAAGTTTCTCAGTCATATAACTGGATGCAAAGCAAAATGAATAGAAAGTCTGATGATAAACAATAATTTATTTAAATTATGCATCATAATTTTTAAGAATATACAATATCTCACAATTAGTTACCAAAGCACTGTTTCATACTCAAGACAGTATGCAGAAACTTTAAATTCTATAGCAAATGCTGTAGAAGTTTGCAGGAAGTGACTAGAAATGGTACATTTCCACAAACACATACTTAATGACAAAATGGAAATTCCAGCTGATGTGTGTTATGTCATCATATGAAATATCATGACAGGTCCCCCAGTACATAATCAAAATACAGTGATTACATTCCCTAGCAACATTATTTCCTAAAGGTGAAAGAATGTACAACTGGGCTTATTTAACAACATCAATATGTTTTTCAAATAAAACTTTTTTCTATTAAAACAATAGTTCTGCCTTCTGGTGCTATCAGAGAGAGGCAATAGGTACACCTACAAAGCCTTGGTTTCTGAAACCACTCTTGAACAATTCAATTTTATTGACATAACCACAAATATAAATACAGTCAAAAAACTCACCATTTAAGCTATAATAAAAATTCAATCACCTTACCTGTCTTAATTTGGGTACATAAATCAAAAGTGCTAAGATAACTAAAATTTCTTTCAAAAATTTATATATATATAGAAAGAAAACATTGAAGAAAATTGCCTAATCTTGCTCAAAGTCTACCCAAATCTTGCTGAGCCAAATGCCTACCCCTGGCATACAGTATAATCAGTTGGTTTGCCACTAAGGACTTATTTCTCTGGTTCCTTTCAAACAACTCAGCTGATCTGCAGCTACCCCAGCAGAAGCCATCTGGCCCTGTACTAAATCAATGTCCCCTCCTGACCCTGCTCTATACCACTCCCAGGGCTTTGCTGATGCTGAAACCCAGCCACATAATGGTATGCCATCCCCTCTCCCTCTGCTATGTTTGCTTTACAATTTTCTAATATGAGGGCAGTTCATTCTGCTTTTATGCTACTAAACATGTTATTAATAAAACAAAGTTCAAGTTCTCTACTAGAATTATATGGTAAGGCAAATTAACATTGAACCAGCAAGCTTCCTTACTGCAGCAGTTCATGCTGTGTTGTCATCTGTTCTGAAAACAAAGACTATGAAATAAATTTTGTAGAATTAAAAGAGGGAAATGTTAAATGAACAGTGTTTGTATATTTCAATTCAAGAATAAAAGTTTCTATTAGCAGATGGAATACTGCTCTAACAATACAAAACACTGAGAGCCCCACAATTCTGGATGTCACATATTATGTGACATACACAGTCTATGTAAAACTACAGATACTATATATACACATAGACTATGAAACGTAGTATCACATGATCTATGAGATACTATGTGAAATACTTTGAAATAAGCTAGAAAGGAGAACACAGATCAGCTTTCTGATATAAAGCTCAGGAATAAGTGCTATCTCTCTGAAATATAGCATGAAAATACACAGGCAAGCGCACACACATACCAAACAAGAAATAACATGCATTTTAGATAAGCAGACAATTCCCAACCAAGACACTATAATGCAAGAAAGCAGAGCTGATCTTGGGTGAAACAAAATAGATCTTTTCAGAAAATATTTACTAGAATTAAACTTTGAAAATATTTCACTACAGCATTTTCATTTCCAAGTAGGATAAAGAAGATTGTAGAAGACCTGTGCTCCTGCTGAAAACAATTAAAAATACCAGATAAAATTTAAAATCTTCCATTTAAAGGCACTGAAGATATGCAGCAACTGTGGCGCTATAACAGAAGTAACTCTTAATTCCAAAGGTGACATAATTTGAACAAAATGAAGTAATAATATTGGATTTGAATCCATAGATTAAGATAAATATGCATGAGTCCATACTAACCTAAAAATATGGTTGAATTAAAAAAAAGGGGAGGGGGTGAGTACAACTCTTTCTTACAGAACAAATCCAATTACTAAATGTAGGAAAAAAAAAAAAAAGAGATAAATAGAAAAAAAATCATTATTAGCTAAAACCACAGTAATAAGTGTTGGGGACAAGACCCAACAATGGTTGCCAAAATTAGTAAGTGAAAGCTGAAGGAGAGATTTGCATAGTATTAAATCACTTCCCTATAAAATATTAATTTAATAGAGAAAAATAGTTTCCATGAAGACATCTAGTGGGCATCATCTCAATTCAGCAATCAAGGTTAATGTCACTAAAATAAAACACCGATATTATAACCCCCTGACAAGGTATACAAAAAAGAACACACCTTTTCAATAGTAGCCTTGCCAAAATGCCTACTCTCATTCTAATCATGAGAAAACACAAATATCTATTTTGAGGGATTACAAAATAAATGAGCAGAGGATTTCACAAGTGTCAAAGCCATTAAACACAAAAAGTCTGGGAGGTTACAGTAGAGGAGAATGCAATGAAATGCAAGCAGGATCCTGAAAGAAAAAAAAGAACATTACTTTGCTGGTTTGTCATCAATTTATGTACATTTTTTACCTCTGATGACATTCAAATAAGATCTGAAGTTTTGGCTGGCAATATTTTTAATAATATTCCAAGGTGAATTTCCATAGTTCAGTTAATAACTAAAACTATGATAATGTCAGAAGTTAACATTAGGAGGAGTTGGATGCAGATTTCTCTGTACTGTTTTTGCATCTATCCTGTAAGTCTAAAATAATGCAAAATAAGAAGCTGAAACATTAAAAGGCATCAGGGAATCTATAAAGGAATGAGGACTAGAAATGCCAAAACTTGAGAACGCAGAAGCACAGAGAAGTAAGCTGACATTCTATAGCCACTTTCTCCCTGGAAGCATCTGCTGATGCAGGGCTGCTGCTAAGGGAAGAGACAGAAAAGACAGCAGGGTCCTGGCAGCCTGATGGGACTGGAGAAAAAGGACTGGGGACAGTGACTGGCAAGACATATATATCCAGAATAAAGACGGAACTCTGTAAATCAATAGGAAAGATAACAGTGTTTGAGCAGCCATTTAACAAAAAAGAAAATATCCAGATAGTCAATAAAAAACAAGTGATACTCAACTTCATTAGTGATTAAGAAAATGCCAATCAAAACTAAAACTACAATGCAATCCCATTACATACCCACCAGAATAGCTAAAATGAAAAGATGGCCAATACCTAGCTGGTGAGAGTATAATTTAAAATAATAGATCAAAAAATGGCAGTATTAAATACCAAATGTCTTCTTTGATATAATGCGAACAACTATGAACAGAGCAAGGAGGAAGAGCAGGAAGAAAAGACTAACATTTAACAGAGTCATGAGATGGGAGGGAAAGGGAGAGAAAAGGGAAATTGCATGGAAATGAAGGGAGACCCTCATTGCTATACAAAATTACATATAAGAGGTTGTGAGGGGAATGGGAAAATAAACAAGGAGAGTAATGAATTACAGTAGATGGGGTAGAGAGAGAAGATGGGAGGGGAGGGGAAGGGGGATAGTAGGGGATAGGAAAGGTAGCAGAATACAACAATTACTAATTGGGCATTATGTAAAATTGTGGATGTGTAACCGACGTGATTCTGCAATCTGCATTTGGGGTAAAATTGGGAGTTCATAACCCACTTCAATCTAATGTATGAAATATGATATGTCAAGAGCTTTGTAATGTTGTGAACAACCAATAAAAAAAATAAAAAATTATAAAAAAAAATGGCAGTATTTACTAATCAAATAAATGCACATCCTCCAAAAGTGATTCCATCTATAGGTACATACCCAAAAGAAATGTGTACAGATGCTTACAGATGCTATTCAACTTACAACGAGGTTATGTCTTAATAAACTCATTGTAAATTGGAAATACTGTAAAATAAATTTAATATATCATAGCTTAGCCTAGTCTACCTTAAACATCTTCAGAACACTTACATTAACCCACAATTGGGCATTGCAAAAAATATTATACCACATATTGCTTCCTGAAAAAAGATCAAAATTTAAAATTGGAAGTACAGTTTCTATAGAATTCATATAGTACTGGCATCATTATAAAGTTGAAAAATCTTAAGTTGAATCATGGTAAGTCAGGGACTCTTTGCATACACATATGGTCATCAACGATGCGTAGAATATTTGTGAGAATATTATTTGTAAATCTAATGTCCATTAAGTAAAAAGGATAAATTATAGGTTGTGACACATTCACAGAGTAGGAAACTACACAGCAATGGGAACGAATGACCTATAAATACAATAATTTGGATAAATCTCACAAACACAAAGAAAGAAATAAACCACATGAACTTCGAGATATTGGTAATTCTTGATCTGAGTGCTTGTTATTTGGGTGCGATCTCTGAAAATTCTCACGGCACATGAGGAATGCACTAAATGTGTGATACCTGTCAATTACTAAGACAAATTTTTATTATTAAAAGTGAAAATCTACAGCCCCTATATAAAAATTATGAATATTTCAGTCAACACTCAAATAAACACTTGCCAAGAAAATATCTTCACTTCTATAAAAAGAACTCCAAAATATAATTTCAGCATTATAAATGCTGTAATGCACTACAGACAGCAACAGTAATAGATCATCATTTACAGTAATTAATTGTGGCTTTTAAACAATCAAATTCTTAAACTAAATAAGCAATTATAAGATTTTATTCTCTCATAAACATCACTAGAGATACACTTGTTAGAAAAGAGCAGAATGAATTATGAATGGGCTTCAGTACCTGAGGCAGAGCTCTGACTACTGGTAGATGAAGAGTCACTCTCCTCACTAGAAGACTCCGAACTGCTCTCGCTGCTGTCAGAATCAGAGTCAGAGGAGTCAGACTCAGAAGAGGACGATGCTGAAGATGAAGAAGTCAGGGAGGATTTATTTTGCTCAACATCTGGTTTTTGTGCCACAACAACCTTTGGTGTATTTTTAAGATGCTCACGAAGTTCATCCCTAATTAGAAATATAATCTGTTAAATTATGCCTCAAAGGCAACTGTAAGATAATTTTTTAAACTGAAAATAAAATTCTGAAAATTATCCTTACGTTAAACCTCCAAGACCTATAGAAGTAAAAAAGTTGATGGCAAACCGAGTATTTCTTGGATTATCTCGTGGTAATAATCCTTCAAAGAATGGTTGTAGAGTTCTAAAACAATAAAAAAGCATTAATAAAAGAGAAAAAATAAAAATAGAAAATTCTTATACAGTCATTTTTTAGCCTACATATTAAATTAGTAAATGAAATGAATAAGGTCAAGTACTAACTTACTCAACTTGATTTCTACAACTATACAATTTAGATTAAAAACTTTTTTATATACACACTAATACAGAGACTAAATATAAACACATATAAACAAGCACATACACATATATGTGTGCATATATGTTTTAATATGAATATAGAAAATTAGAGAAACTTCTTCTGTTTTCACACATACACTATATGCATATAAAGCATCAAGTAAAACAGAGGAAATAGGAGACGTAGTCAACAAAGGGAGAGAGCAAGGATGAAGACTGTATATAATTGCTTTATCTATGAAGAGGAACAAACAGAAAAACATTAACAATACAATTTGATTTGGGACATATGGTTGTGAGCTCCACATTGCATGACAATCCAATGGAGTCAGGGAAAAGTGTTTCACAGAAAAAGGTGTTTCATAGAATAACGTAAAATATAAGAATGATTAAGCATCTGCTAGACAGGTCAAGCAGAGAGGGACTGGGAGCAGCAGAAACAGAGGTAAGGAAGCATGAAAGAGCCAGACATGCTTAGCAAGCTTGGCAATATTGGTGTGATCACAGTACAACTTGCTGAAGAGGAAATAAATGAGCCTGATAAAGTAGACAGGCATGAAATAAATATCTAAAGCCAAAAGAAGGAGGAACAGGTCAAAAACAGCATGAAAAACCCAGTATAGATCTTGGTGAACTGTAACTCTAGAGATGCAGGCTGGGGAGGACACAAAGACTGACAAGAATGAAAAGAAAGGCAGGATCTACATGAGCAAATGGTTTAATGGGGCAGAGACGTGAAGGAGCACGAGAACTGAGAAAGACCAATGCATTTGGCAGGTAGTCACTGAGAAATTTCAAAGGACAGTTAGTAATGTGAATTAGTAGTTGATCTAACTGAAATTGAACAATGTGAATAAACAGGAAATAAGAAAGTTGAGCCAGAGATTACATAATAGTCCTAGAATAAGACCCTGGTTTTAAATAATAATCTGAAAATTACCTAATATTTATTTGTATATAAATATAACTATTCATTCACAACAAAATATTATTTATCATTTCAACACCCAAAACTAGGGTAAAAATGAAAACAAAAACTGTAATTCTCATCACTGAAACATTCCAGTAAACATGTAAAAATAATTTTGTATATTCCAACTAAATTAAAAGAGGCATGATTCTGTGTTCTTACCACCTGAACATTTTTAGTTGTCTTGTGCCACATACCAGCAGATGCAGAGGAGACTGATGGATAAAGAAAGCCCTGGGGTGATTAACTCATAACTGTTTTACAACCAAGGGCAAATTGTCTGCTAACGTGGGCAAACCCCTCAAGGACAATAAGACTAAAACATACTTACTCATCCTTTAATCTTGCATTAAGTTTAGGAAGGCCCATGTATTCACACAGTTCCTGGAAAAATATTTTGACAAAAATTCTACTAGATGATGTAGTAGTTTCTTCACTCAGTTTTATACATTCTAGAACCTGAAAATTAAAATAGAAATAGATGATTTTATTATCTTTACTAGTTTTTAAACCAATTTTATTGGTTTTCAAAAAGCAGGACAAAGTGACTAATAAATTTAAACCTCTCTTGAAAAATTATGATATTTTCATCTTCAATCATAATTATATCCAAATATCTTCTCTTATGCTGACATGTATTATTTCTTGGCAAAGTTAAGACTACTTCTCTATACTAATTTTTAAATGTTAAGATGCTGCAGAAATAGATTTCATTTTCTTCCTTGTGTAATGTGCTTTTTATAGCAGGGAAGATATGCTGCTTGAGCACATAATGCTGAAGATATGCTGCTTGAGCTCCTAAACTTCACTCAACAAAATATGGTCTGTATGTCACTTAGAGCATAAGGCCATAGTTCTGTACAGCACATAACAATACACAATAAAAGTAAAGACAGAAACAATGATGGTATATTCTGAACACTAAAATTGTAGCTTAAAAAGTGAAACTCATAAAGACATAGTTTAGGGGGGAAAAAATGAAAGTAATCTCCAGTTTTTATGGGTTATGTGTTCCAGGAGTCCATCTGTTAGTCAACTGTTCAAAACTTGATTTCATTTTCTTAAACTGGGAAACAAGGAAGTAAAAAATTACTATGATTAGGCAGCTGGGTTGGGTTACAAATGCCTATTAATATAACTGAGTATACTTGGTATGTAAGGTACCACAAAAATTATCCAATGTTTTAAGATCTGTGTTGCTTTATTCTATCATTATGTTATTCTATCATATGTTGCTCATCTCTTTCAACCTGGATACAATTCCTTTCTTTTTAAAATTCCTTTAGTAGCTTGGCGTTTAAAAATAATCTACCACTTTGAAATCTGTATCATTGCCATGGATATATCACTCTTCTATTATATGGTACACTTGCATAAAGCTGGAACATATCTAATTCACTTTGACTGATAAGCACCTCTCATGTCTGGACCCATAGGTGGTAGCTAAATGATGGCAGTGAATGAATAATAACTGTACAAAAAAAAAAAAAAAACAGCTAATAAAGACATTCAAATTTTCAATTCGGTGCACATTTCCTCTTAAAGGATATCTTTCCTTGTTGTATGACTACAGGATCTCTCTTTTATCCCTTACCCAATGTCAAAATGTCTGCTCAAAAGAACAGATTTTGCTATCACAATCATTTCTCTCAAGTCCTAACAAGAGGAACCATGGAAACTTACTCTCTCAGAAAAAGGAACAGTAATTGAGAGATACATGTGCTACCAACATGGGGGGTATGTATTTCTCTCCTTTGTGATGTGAGTATGTGTGAATGTATGTGCGCAGAAGATGAAAATATTAATATTTTCTCCGAAAATACTGTCATCACTATTAAAAGCATCTGACTGTTATATATCAAGGATATTATTTCTTATACTTGTGTATTATTTAACTTTGCTTTAATCCTCTGTTACATTAACATAATTTTATAAAGATAGCAGCCAGAGTAAAGGTATTCCATTTCATTTTAATGCATACTTCTTAATAAAATAAATATGGTCACATATTTGAGAATTAGGCAAGAAGTATAAATATTGACCAAACAACTTACACTCCATGGAAGTGAATCAGTGTACAAAAGGTGAGCAAACATCTTAGCAACATTTCTCAATTTGTTTGTTTCCAAGCGATGGATTGTATCATACTGCTCTTTGAATATGCTTTCAAAGGATTCCATGTATTCCTTTTTAAGCATGCAAAATCGCTAATAAGTAAAAAATTGAATGTTAATACCAGCAAAACTGAATGTCAATACAATTATGAACACATTAATATTCTTAAATTTACTGAATCAAAACTAAGTATTTTGTATATCTTCAAAAAGTCTTATCACTAAATCTTTCTACATGATGTTCAAAAAAAGACATTATACACACACACACACACACACACACACACACACACACACACACACACACGTTTTCTACCCGGATTTACATATCCTAAAACAAAATTAGACATGTAGTTGATCTGAGACACAAACATTTATATACTGAGAATATATACTTCTACCTCTATAGGTGGTTTGGAATAAAAATTACTTTAGATCATGATTTTCTGTGCTGCCTGAACATGTTCTTGACTTCATTAACTGATTTACAATTTTGAAAAGACATTATATTCTTGTCCTCTATAGAGAAATTGTCATAAAGCATGGAGAATTTCAAAAAGTTCTTGAAGGATGATATACAATGTTAAAGCACTGTGAAACTGAAATGGGAATAAAGGAAGCTAAAGATAGTAGGAAACCTAAGGAAGTAAAGAACAATTTGCCTTTAGCAAAGACACATTGTTACATTAGACCAGACCACAAAGCAGAACTATTAATTTACTATGTTGGTGGTCAAAATTCTGACCCTTGGTACTTCTATTAAATTCTGAGATGAGAAACAAGGCTAGAACTCACCCCAGCTAGTAAGCCAAAAAATTTTTCATATGTTCTTTGTTGGGCACAACAATCAAGTATCATATTGCAGAGTTCTTTCTATTTAGAAAAAAAGAAAATTACATTAACCATTTGAAACACAACGGATCTATGCTCCATAATAATTTCTCAATATGATAGTTAAATAAGTTTAAAAAACTTTTACAACTTTGTAAACTTTTAAAAATTATAAGCTTAAGCAAAGACTGAGGGTTTTTGGAATAAGCCTTTAGTCTAGCTGATAACATCTATAGCCATTTATGCAAATTAGATTAATTATCTCAGGTAGAGATCAAATAAACTGCTAAAAGGAAATAGAATTTTTAAAATATAGACTCACCAACACAATATCTAACAATTCAGTTATATACCTCCAAAAGATACAAAAAAAAATTGTTAAGAAATAAATGTAGGTAATATGGATAAGGCAGAACATAATGAGTCATTTACAGAAGCACAAATGGGTGTGACTTCAATTTTAACTTAAATGACCCTCTGGATGATACAGACATATGTATTTAAAAGAACAAAGAAAAAAATGTGCATGGCTGAAATTCTTAGCCTCAAAATAAATGCTATGCACGCAGATCTATCTATAGATGGATCTTGATAAATAGGTGGAATCATTCTGTAACTGCTGTAATATACTGTCCAATCACCTATTTAGATACCTTGAAAACTTCTGTGAAAATTCTGTTGATCTAATGAATGAATAAGTCCCTGATCAGAAAATACCACATCACAATGTTTCTACTGAAGTAATTACAGATTTTAATTAATAAATGTGATTTATTAATTCCTGAAATAATCCTAATAAAATATGTGTTGATTGTAGCAATTTCACAGATGAAAAAACTCAGGCAACACAGTGAATGGAGACAAAATAGGGAGAAATCATTCTCTGACCACCACTATAGAACTGTCTAAACAGTTTTTCATAATAAAACATTTATTAAAAAGTTTAAAATATTTTTTTCCAAATACAGTAACTAAAATATATTTTCTCTCTTTAAATAGAAAGCAGACCTATGAAAATGTATATGCTTTCAACTAATTTTTAGTTTTTTTATATTTTCAGTTAACAATCTTGACATTTTGTCAAATTTAACTACACAGATACGACCTAAATAAAAATCGTAAATATTCTAAAAATTATGTCAATAAGAATTTATTGTATACACCTATATGTCAGAAACTCTAGGGGGAGGGTATCAGGGTAAAGAGACACAAAGGGAACCCTGGAGAAGCAAAGAACATATGTTACAAAATTCTACTACCCTGCATGATAGTTTATAGCTAACTGTGGGCTATTTAAATGACTTGACAGTGCATAGTATTTTATATAGCACTGCACTAGAAGCTCATAATCTGCTATGAAACAATTACTCCAATCCTCATTTTGAAACACAGGAGTTACTTTCAAATGCCATTATGTTGCTAAATTTTTTAAATACAATATCATTCAACAAGTTAACTCAGTTAAATGTTTATAAATGAGTTGTGAAAAGTATATTTTACCAAAATTTCACAGTTCTGAAAATTTATGAGGCTTTCCTAAATTCTTCCATGTTAACTTGATATATTACAATTTACTTTAAACTTTTTCCTACCAACATTGAGTTTAACAATAATAAAGCAGTTAATCAGGTAATATGCTGATAGCATTGCTAACAGTACCACTTGCAAAACAAATTATTTTCTTCCCTAGGCTAAATGCAATTATAAAAGTTTATTCCCTATGGCTTATAATAATTAAATATTTTAACATTTCAATTAAATATTATAGTGATCTTAAGAGTCATTTGAAAATAAATACACTCAGATTCTTCAAAATATCAAAATATGTTGAGGTTGGTGCTAGAATAACTACCGTGTGGATTCATATTAATAAAATTTATGACTTAATTATACTCCTCAAATCATGTAATAAGATCATACAGTAATTTTAGTGTCAATTATAATTTTAAAAGCTAATTTACATATTTATTTCCTTCTATGGATGGCATATCAAGTACAGTATAAATAGGGACACTTACTATATATTATTAAACAAACTGAAGATTTTTTTTAACTTCAAAGGAATTCATTTTTCTCAAAATTCTATACCAAGTCATGTTAAGAATGAATCATGTTTAAAGAATTAAGACAAAGAACTTTTTATCTAAAAGTGACTTAGCTCAAATAATCAAGAAAAGCTAGAAGAGCTAGAAATTTAACAGCCTTTTAGCCCCAAACACTCACTGAAGCATCAGTACTGGGTCTACCACTTATATAAAGCAAGGTATGAAAATAAAAACCACCAAAATCTTGGTTCATGTTCCAAGGACCTGAAATCTACACAGGCAGAGAGCAAGTGAAAATAATTTTTAAAAAATTACAAGATAATCTATTCGATCTAATCTTTATTATCCAGGCATTAGGGTTCAGAGACTTTGAATAATGAAGTATACTGAGAAAAAAAAAAAAAAAAAGAGTATCTTGGGGCTAAAAGAAGGCATCAAGTGATTTACAATTCACTTAATCCCTGATACTCTGCAGAGTATTGGACATACAGTATATGCTGAATACATTTTTGTTCAATGAATTAATGAGTGAAAAAAATAATAGATTCTTTTGTATCCATTTAGAGTAATGCAAAAGTGTGATCTTTGTAATCCCTACCACAAAAGAAGGCATTTGTTCATAAAGAGATGGACCAAATTTCCTACTATATTTAAGTTACAACTTGATTTATAGACAATCATTCAGAAATACTACATCAGGTATGGTATTTTCAGAGAATCATCCTAGTTTTCCAATATTCCATTCAAACATCCTGTTTAATTCAATGGAGTGAATAGCATACGTGAAACACCCCCAGGACTCCTGAGCTTTGAGTTATTAGAAAATTACAGAAAATGTACATTTTAAAAATAAGTATTTAGCACTGTGTTACTATTTCAATTTATAAATTCTATTTATTGCCTTAAAGATTTTCAAAACCAATATGAACTTTCTACTGAGAGAAAAAGAATGTTAACATACTGTTTGACTTTCAGGAAACTCCATTTTCAGCAGTTTGTGAGCACATTCTTCAAAATCTAAACTGGAAATAAAATGGTAACAATAGGTAAAAGCTTACAGCAATGAAGTGTACCACTCTGTCATACGGGAATACTACTATACTACAGTTTTGAATAAACTCTTTTAACTGTTATTGCTATTATTTTATTTATGTATATAAAGCCAACATAGTTCTAATTCTACAAAGAATGTAGCACCAATAATATACTATGTAATATGGATGGAATCTTGAATTATGTTAAGTAGGAGGTGGCCACAAATAAAAGGCCACATATAGTATGATTCTATTTATAATAGTATTCTGAATAAGCAAATCCATAGATATAGAAAAAAATTAAGGGGCTAGGCAGTAACTGCCAATGGATATAATAGATATTTGGTTTTGGAGTGAAAAAACTGTTCTGGAATTAGTGATGATGGTTGTACAACTTTGTGAATATACTAGAACAACTACAACATACTTGAAAACAAGAAATTTTATTGTATATAAATAAAATTAATTTTAAAAGGCAAAAAGAGAAAGATAAAGAATATGCACCGATATTTATTATTCTCTCAAACTAGTCAAACTCAAGCTGTAATTAGTCAGATAAAGGGTTTCTGTCATTAATGATTTTCTTCATTTTAAGGCGGAAAAAATAATAAAATACATGGCTGACAAGTTTATCTCATTTATATGAGCATATGAGGCTTATCAAATGCTCCTCAGCTGCTCACAGGTAACTGACATACAATAGTGGTAAATTCTTCAGTCTTAGCAATCTTTTCTTTCAAAAACTGGGGAATAATAACTGCATATAAAGAATTAATTAACTATTCTGATTTGACAATCCAATATTGGAAGACAAATGTAAGTAATCTAAATCCAGTTACTAGATCTCAAGGAATACTTTGTAATACTTAAGGTTTTCTAAAAAAATCAGCTGTTCTGTTCTATATTTGTTAAATAAATCTAAGGAAGAAAAATATCAGTAACTAAATACAAAAACTTAGATAAAACAGATTTCACTTAACAATGAGGACTAATACAAACTAAAGGCATAAAATGTTAACATTTTTCACAAGTATTTATAGTCAGCTAAAACTTCTAAGAAATATATTTTCATTCATCATTCACAAATACATACCTACATCAATAATAATAACTGAAGGTAGAAACATCTACAGGATACTATACTGATTTATATTTAGTCCAAAATAAGCACATTAGAATGATTTTGAGACAAACTGATTTAATCCTCTTGTTAAAAGAGAGAAAAACAAGACTTGGAGGTTTTTGCTAGACTTGCTCCTGGACACAGTCCTGGGAGTAAGACGGGAATACAGAAATACTTTATGACAATTATTCTTTCTCACTCAATAAAGACGTCACAATTAACATTTAATTTGAAAAGCAATTCTTTGACATGTACATTCTGCAGTTGGGAAAATTCATAATTAAGACAGGGGAAAATATAGATCCAGTTCCTCATGCTTACATTAAAATCCCAACACAGAAGTGGAAATGATATTCTACCATAGTACAACCCCACCTAATTTTACCAGGTATTGTATGTTTCACATTTCTGTAACTCTGTTACATAGTTTTTCATTTCTCCCTGATTTAAGTAAGGAAGAGGTAAAAGATGGTCCAGGAGGCCAGCATGACAGCTAGTGCTTAGTTCACACCCAAACACAGGGCTTCCACACTTATACCAAAAAAAAAAAAAAAAAAAGTATAAAAATAATAAATAATCAGGCAACACTCAATAATACTTAGTATTGACAAACTTCAATAATACAGCCATACCATATTTGCAGGTAAATGAATGAAGTTAGAGAATAGCATCCAAAGCGAAGCAAGCCATTCCCAGAAAACCTAAGGCTGAATATTCTAATATGCGGATGCTGATCCATTATGGGGTATTTGGGTGGGAGTGGGGAGAATGGAGGAACTTTGATTGGGCCAAGGGGAAGGAGTGAAAGGGAGGAGGCATGGGGGGAGGTAAGATGGTGGAATGAAACGAACTTCATTACCCTAGGTACATGTATGACTGTACATGTGGTGTGACTCTATCGTGTACAACCAGAGAAATGAAAAATTGTGATACATTTATGAAAAATGAATCAAAAAGCTTTCTGTTGTCATGTATAACTGATTAGAGTGAATAAAACATTTTTTTAAAAAGAATATTACAGAGCTACCAAGAAAATAAACATACTGGTTCATGTGCAAGTAAATAAAATTCAACACACACACAATAATACAGCCATACCAAAACATTTTAAAAGATGTTATTATTTTCTTTTCTAGCTCTTAAAACCAGAATGACTACTCAGGAAAAAAAATTGGAATTTCTGAAAATGTCAAAGAAGTGATGAAAAAATTTTACTACTTTCCTCTTATCTAAAAGTATGCATGACAGTCCATTTTCTTTGTTCTTGATTTATTTTTTTGTGATTAACATGTCCTCAGTTTTCACATTATGTCCTTTTTTTTGCTCCAGGATCATATTTAGGATATCTCATTTAGTCATCATGTGTCCTTAGATTACTCCAGATCATAACAATTTCACATATTTATCCACACATTTGTGAATGAATAAAGATAAGACATGTTTTAGACTGGTTTCCTAACTTTAAGAATGTGAACTTGGAGGATTTTTTAAAAAATGTTTTTAGCTGTAGGTGGACACAATACCTTCATTTTGTTTATTTAGTTTTTTTTCTTTTCTTTATGTGGTACTGATCAAACCCAGTACCCCATGCATGCTAGGAAAGTGCTCTACCACTGAGCCACAATCCCAGCCTAACTTGGAGGATTGTGGAGTAAATCAGAAAATGTGTAAATATCTGAGAACATCAAAATACTTCAATAAATTTTTAGCAGAATATTCCAACTAATCATTCCTAAAATATATATTCATACAAAAACAAAAAAGCCCATGGATAAGAGCCTTCGAACTTGACAAAGAATCTTTATTAATTCTATTTTTACTTGTCCTTTTAAGTTTGATGGAGTACAACTGTATGAGTTCTAAAAATAATACTGATTATTTCAAGTTAACACACTTAAAATTCATGGAATAAAAATTTAGTAACAAAAGTGTCCGTATAAGTCATTATACTTACATATTTTACTTAGTAAAAGTAATGAAAGTTTGCTAACTAGGAAAGAATGCAAATAAAATTTGAAAAATAAATAAAAATGATTGCATTCTTTCCTAGTTGAGAATTTGTAATATCCCTTACCTATAGAAACAAGGTTTCTTCTTGCTTCCCCAAAATCTCCCCTTTAAATTGAGAATAGTATATTTATCTGCCTACCTCATAGACTTAGTGAAATAAACTGTGGTACAGAATAATATAGCTTGTAGAGCAAGCCATGTATCTGTAATATAATAAACAGTTTATGTGCTAATCATACATAGCCAAATATATATACTATATCTATCAGTTATAAGAATTAACTGCATTGTTATAGGTGATATTAATTATGAAATGTTCTATATAACCATGAGTGAACTTTGGCAATATCATCTTTCTATTTCTAAAGTCAAAAGATTTCTTCCTAAAATCATCCATATTATTATTTTATTGTTTCAAAACTGAATAAGTGTTCTTATTTTATCAAAAACATACTTGATGATTCTTACACACAAGATTGTTTTGAAGTTGCACTATTATACTTATTAAATGAATTAAATTTGCATGATATTTTAGTTCTCAGGTTGCTAAATAAAATGACTTCTAGGTTTAATACAGGTTAGGTTAGTAGTGGTTGAGGAGAGGGTAAGGAAAAAAGAATGTGCCTTGCTTGATGGTTGTGTTGTATTCTTGACTTCCAGCCTGGTAAGCTATAACTGCAAGACTTTTAGAAAATTAAAAAACAATGGGGAAAAAGACATTAAAACAATCCAAACTACAATCCAAACTCCTCTCAGGATAACTGCTGATAATAAGTTGCTGTATCATTTCTACTCTGCTTGTCTATTTTTTTGTTAAGATATTGCAGTTCTATATAGTTTAAACTTTTCCTCACCTAAGACTGTATCAGACTATGCCCACATTTATAATAATTCATCATTAACCTGATTTTCAATGTGGCATAAATTGTACATTTAGACTATTTATCTTTTTTTTTTTAATTTGTTGTTGGACACAGTACCTTTATTTTATTTATTTATTTTTATGTGGTGCTGAGGATCGAAACCAGGGCCTTGCATGTGCTAGATAAGCACTCTACCGCTGAGCCACAACCCCAACCCCTAGACTATTTATCTTAGATTGATTTTCTTCCTTTTTTTTTTCTTTTTGCCCAGAAAAATTCCACATATACTTCTCTATCAACATTCATTTCTTTGGGAAATATAATAATGAGAAAGGGTCAAATGACCTGGATAGTCTACCCATCAATAAATAATGTGTATGTCTATCTCACAAAAGTTATCAAGACTGAGTATCATTGTATTTTTTTTTAAAAAAAGGAAGCCACTTCAGCTATTTTAATGACCAATAACAGCACTTTTTCCAATAACATTACTTCTTTGTCTCCATATTTTATAACATTTTAATCATGTTTTATTATTTAATTTGATAATTCTCCTATCCAAGTTCTTGAAATACCTATGCATTAAAGTGTTTTTTACTTTTTTCTAACCTTTGTCATATATTAAATTCAGTATTTAGGAACTAGAACTTCTAATACTAACATAAGAGACTTACAACTAGGATCCGTACCACTATGAAGCAGATAGAAGCTGTCCTGTTTCCCAAAGCTTTAATTTTTCATTTCTCTATGTGATTCCAGAGATTAAAGTTTGAGGTCAACAACAACAACAAAAGATTTCTTTTAAATAATTATTCAAAGAGTTTACCTGTAACTCCTCAAAGTTAATGTAAAAAGCTACAGTGAACCTGTTGCTCACATCTGATTACTATTAGATTTCTAAAGAACACACAAATGAAAGGTCAAACTATTATTGAGACTATTTACCTTTAACAAAAAATTTCTTCTCTTCTACTTTAGTTTATAGAAAAATGATACTTTATAGTTTTTCATGTAAAAGGTAAAGAAATAGGTAAGGACAAACCAAAATAATTTCTAACTCATGTTCTGCTGTTTAATATTTGAAAATGAATCTAAAGCCAAAAAGTTTTCAGACAGACTGAAAACAGGATGACTCCTACTTATGAATCATTATTACTATTACATCATACTAAATGGAAATATACAAAACCTAGCAACAAAACTGAGAAAACATTCCTCCTACACTATAAAATGTAAACACTGCCCACTAAATCAATAGGTTGATTTCACATACAACTTAACAGATGCACTAGCATTTAAATCTTCAAAACCAAACTCATAGTCTTCAAAGGAAATAGGTTTTGTCTTTATGACATCATTGTAGTTCTTCCTTAATATGACTTCAAAGGGTCCTCAAAACCTTCCCAAGTCTCAAATCCTATTTCCATTTACATTTATTTCTATCTGCATAGCAAATCAGTATCCCAAAGTCATCAAAACAGAGCTTCTCTGCTTAGAACCAGAATTAGAAACCAAATTAGAGAAAACAAAACAATAACATTAAGTACCCATTACATAAGTAAATCCTGTGTTAGTTTTTAACAGAGTTGTTTTATAAATGTATTTAACTATAAGAGATGACATAGGATGGGTCCATAAACATGGGTGCTGAGAATGCTGAAATGTTCTCTAGTTTTCTGTTATCAGATTCTAAACAATTCCTAATCTCTTTCACCACCACCACCACCACCACCACCAATACCACCAACAACAATATTTTAATTAATTAAAAAGAATAACCTGAGCAATTATCCTCTTACCTTGACTGAATAGCAAGATATATTGTACGACGAAATGAGACTAGATTAATTTCTGTTTTGTCATGGATAGTCACTTTCTGACCTGAAAGAAATTAAGCATAACAATTACAAAATTAGAATAATAAATAAGAAATGAAAAGGTATCTTGATATAATATTTTTCAATACATTCACTTAGAGTCTCTTATACTTTAATAATAAAAATAATAATCCTTTCTACAGTGTAAATCAGTATTTACCTAATTAAAGGTAATAATACTTCAAGTCTGTTATCATTTTGTTAGCATGTAGTCCAGAATCAAGCGAGGAAAACTATTTTTATTTCTGAGTTACCTGTTCATTTAGATATTAGGGAAGACTACATTCATGCTGCTATTATTTATAACTATAAATAATATTCTGATAATTTGGAAAAACTATAACTTACAGGCAAATATTAATTTTAATAAAATGCTTTGCAATCCTGACAGGCTGGATGGATCCACTATAAATATGTGCATTTGTCAAAATTGTCTGCTATTTAATACATGAAAATTTGCCTTATGCATATTTGTTGTTATCTGGACAGTCTTTCCATATAAAACAAAGAAACTTTTAAAGTATAATGTAGTACACGGATAGTTAGATTAATGAGAATGCTGGAAAAATTAAATCTATTTTTGTAAAATATGTTATTGAAATAATTATACTGTAAGACAGAACTAAAATATATTATACTCCCTAAAAGAAAAAGATACTTTTAATATTTTCAAATAAATAATGCCTGTAAATAATGTCTGGTTTACATATAAATTCTAATAAATATTAACAGATTTAACCATAGTAAAGTTCCTACTTACTTTTCTATTAAATAATGTAATCAAAGGGAATAGGAAGAACATCATTCTGCTTCTGTACAAATATAGCTTTTGGTCTCCCCACTCTATTTTGCCAAAATGAATAGCAAATACCTAGTCATTCACATCTGTCACATTCTTGCCAGGGTTACATAAATCATATGCACTCCACATGAATATACCTTTTCTCTAGTTTCTAATATTATCAAAGACATAAAATGCAAAATTAAAATTATATTGCTAAAAACATGAATTTCCTTTTAGAGCATGATTTCTCAATCTTAGCAATGCTGGCATTTGAGGTTGTATTAATACTTTCTAGTGGAGGCCAGCCTTGTGACACAACTTATTTAACAATATTCCTAGTCTTCACCTACTAGAGGCAGTAGCATCATTGTTTTATAGTATTATATTAGAATTAATTTAATTTTAGAGTATTCAACACTATTATTTAAATATGTTACAGCTTTACCTTCTTCATCTTCTTCTCCTTCCTCCTCTTCTTCCTCCTCCTCTTCACTACTTTCAGCATCTTGGTCTGTGTTTGAATCACTATCTCCTTCATCAAGAATTTCTATAAGACCAAATAAGTTTAAGAAAGAAATTAATGAGCAAGTAATATACATATATCTCATTCTGAGACAATAATTCTAAGTTCATGGAAACCCATAGTGTTGTACCAGTTTACCGGCCAACAAAGATGATCCAAACCTGTGTCAATGTCCAAATGGTCAGAAAGCATTACGAGTGATTTCACTAGACAGTGCCACACCAATTATTCTTCTGCTATATTAAAAAGTGGCCACAAATCAAGGAAGAGATGAAAAGAACAAAGAAAAAGTACATGAAGGTTTCCAAATGAGCAGGAACCGTGAAAAATTTAGGAATGGAAGCTAGCATATGGAAGTCAAAGTATCTCATCACCAGCAAAAGGACAGTGTTTTATGAAAAAATGAAAGCTTGAAATAGAAAACAAGGTTTTAAGGTAACAATGTACTTGGGGAAAAAAGGGAGAGGAAATAATTGTATAATTTCCTGCTCATTTTTAATAAATAAGATCTTTATTAAAATGTATATATATTAAACTGAATGTTACAATCAAAGATTTTTTTTATGTGTAAAACTAAAACTGAAGTTTTAAGGCCTTTAAGATTTTATTAAGACAACCATTTTATTGCATTTGTAACTTCTTATGATACATCTCATATTTAATATTAAATGAAAATGACTTAAGAGACTAAAATCAATGTTAATAGTAAACAAATGACAAAAACTAAAATTTATATTTTGCCTAACAGTACTATTAGTAGCCTGATCAAGATTTTACAAACCTAGACAATATTTCACATTTCTATTAAAATCAGTGAGCTTTTTAATACAATTTTGGAGCCAATTCATTTTTAGGAAAATGCTACCTCTTTTTTATTTAACTAAGCAATATAAATCAGAAACTACATATTTAATGTTAGCAGAGAACTCCATACTATGAAGAACAAATCACTTTACAAAAATGTGATGGGGTCATTCAGTTCTTATCGAAGTCTTAAGAATATTTCTAACAAATATGACTTCAAGAAATAAACTAAACTGTCTCGTTATTTATGCAACACAGCTCAGGCAGACTTTAAAAAGAAGAAACTATTTAATATTCAATAGTATGAAGACAGGCACTCCTGCTGTTTTCCCAAATGCTGTAAAACCTAAAACACAAGTACACCTGGGTCACTCTGAGGTGCTAATTACTAAAGCTGTGCTCACTTCCTGCTGTGGTCATTTTTTTTTTATGCCAGCTCTAGAACATTTTACAGAAGAATGAAGGTCAAATGAATTTTCTAATAGTTGACATCATCCTCTTCTCATTTCTCTACTTCAGAATTTACTTACTGAAATCACATAGGCAATGGCAATTGGATTTCATTAAATGAATAAAGCAGTGGTTTCATAGAATAGTCTATGAATCTTTAGAGGTCTGCTGAGACCTTTCAGGTGGTCCGTGAGGTCAAAATTTTTCTCACAATAATACCAAGACATTACCTCCATTTTCACCATGCTGATACATGCAAAGATGATTCATAAGTACTGGGTTTAAAACTGCTGTAAGCTAAGAGTAAATCAAGGCACCAAACTGTACCAACAATCAATGCATTCTTTAGGGCCATACTTGCAGTAGAAAAAAAAAAGGCTGTTTCACTTAAAAACTGTCTTTGACGAACAAGTAAAACATTAATTTTATTAAATCTCAGTCCTTGAGGATATGTCTTTATCACTCTCTGAGGAACAAAATATTAAGTTCATATATGAACACTTCTGTTAAATCCAGATGCACAGACGTGATGGTGATCTCAAGAATAAGAAACAGTGTGACTGTTTGAGTTGCAACATGAATTGCTACTTTCCCTTTTCCAGTTTTTCTTAAAAGAAATGGCCAACAAACTATAGTTGTTAGGTATTTGGCCATCAATTTCATAAATATAAATAAAATTACACTGTTACTTCAAGGAAAACAACTAACAATATCTGCTACCATGATAAAATTCAGAATTTCAAGAGAAAATTTTATTTCTGGAAAACCTATATCTATCCCTCTGAGCCTGTTCACTTCCCAATAACTGGACTTTCCGGCTGAGATGGGCAATAAATTAACAAGTGTGATTTCTTGATATTATATTAATTAATGTTAATTTGATTTTGATAATTTTAATCTGTTAACATTTAGAAGATGCTCATAACTCAGGAAATCAGTATCATTTTCCAAATGACCAATACAACAACTTGCAAAATCATTTCTGGCTTAGAGACCTAGCTTACTGACATACCATACCAATGGTTTGTAATGTAACAGAAAATTCATTGATACTATTTTAGATTCCTATTAGGCTAGACACTAAATTTGGCAAAACACATAAAATATTCTATTCATCTCACTGAATTACTTTTGTAAAATATTTCTATATATTTCTAATATAATAAATAATAATAAATATAACACACATAAACAGAAGCTCTTTAGAGTCAATGATATTTTTCAAGACTGCTAAGGGATCTTGAGATCAAAGAATTTGAGAACTGCTGTAATAAATGAAAAAAACTACCTTTCTAGGTGTTGGCCAACTGCCTAGACCCTAACAAAATAGAGAATTTCCAAGTTTAAAAAACAAAGAAATCATACCAGGTAAAACAGTTATAGAAAACAAACAAACAAATAAACATACATTTGGTACCTCTACTGCAGGAAAAGAAGTTAAAAAAAAAAAATGAAGGCTAAATGGGTTTATCAAGTCCTCCATGTTTAGAAACTAATAAGAGAAAAAAGAAATCTGGCTAGTGGCAGTAAAAAGCTCTCCAGAAATTAATAACTAAGCAAAGACCTGATTACTGTATCAGGTTTTTAGGATACTGCATAGAAATAGAAGGCTGTTTATACTTTTACCTTCCACTCTAAGTAGGACTACAGCATAAGAATACAGGCAAAGAGAGAGTTCCATGTCTCTTCTTTCTTAAGAGCTTCCCTGAGAATGTTCTTCTCAAGTAAAACTCACAACTGAAGGGAAATAAACTCATAAAACTATTATATAAGTAGGCCTGGATATTAGTTTTAGGAAAATAATAATAGTAATATAGCTTAGTCTGAATACTTCTTCTGGGGCCACACAATGCACACCAAAGCATTTCATTTATCGTTCTACAAATGAGTAAGATTCATGCTTACATCAAACAAGTAACTTGTTTCAAGTCATGTGGCCAGTAATGTCAAAGAAAAAAAAACGCAAAATCTATTCAGATTTAATGCTTACAATACACTAATGATATACAAATAACAATAATTATGAACTTATTAGGTAATAATCTCAGACTAATTTTATCAGGACATCAACCTGCTCTCAAGATGAAATAAAGTATAGCAGTTATATAATGCATACCAATTAACTGAATATCAAACTGGGGGGCACAGATAATTGGCAAAACACAATAATTGGCAAAGAGGTTAAATAAAGGCCACTGGTAATTTATGAATGTTTCTTAAGAGGGGTGAGACTTAAGGATTGAATACCTTATAAAGAGTGTAAGAAGAGACAATAAGATAAATGATTCAGAATTAAGCAATAATATGTTAACCAAATACTACAACAAAAAAGCAGTGAAGAGAACTGCTTCATAAGATCACAGATCTCACAGGATGAAGATCAGTGATCTATAAATATTCCTTTCTACCAAAATCATATAAGTACCTAAGTTGCTTCTACTTATCCAAAATAAATTTTTTTATAAAATTTTACATACCCTTCTTAATAGCTTTGTACTTGTCTTCATTCTCCATAAAATTAGGATCCATCTTGAAAACATCTTAAAAAAAGAAATTAAAAGTTAAATGTTTATTTTCTATATTTATAGTTTTTGGGTGCCTCACTTCCCATTCCCCAACCCCCAGACTTACTAAGAACATCTTCTGGATTATAGTCATCCTCCAAAGGAAGCATATGGGTGAACTGATCATCTTCTTCAACTAAGTCAAGTCCTTCCAGGATAATAGGGTGATCCTTGAATCCATCCTTCCGTACAGCAAACATCACTTCAATCATATACTGAACTCTTTTATCAATTTCAGATTCATGCAGAATGTTTCGAAGGCGTTCAAAGATAGCTTAAGTTACACAGGAAAAAAAAAAAAGAGCAAAATAAGCAATAAATAGTATGATTCTAAAAAAAAAAAAATACATGTATATACAAACCAAGAATATACACTTACCATTGATACCTCTTGGTGACACTTGTGTTAATTTGAGGCCACATTCTTTGAGAAAACCAATGGCTACTTCAACACTATCATCTGTTGGTCTTTCTAGGAGCAAAGTGAGCATCTCTAAGCATAAAACCTCATGTGCCTTAAAGAGAATGCAGGAGGAAAAAAAAAAAGCTTTTACATATATTAGCCTACTATTAAAAATAATTTTTAAAAACCAGGATATGTTTCAACAATAATTATATTAAACACATGATGATACTATTTTTTTCATTTTCATTTATAGATAATTGTTCTAAAATCTTAACATCAAATACAACTAAGTTAACTTTAGCAAATATTCTTTTTAGACATTCAGTACAAAAAATGCCATAGATAATCTCAAAACTCTAAGTGAAAAAACACATACTAATTTTTAATGAAATAATCTTTTCATAAGCACTATAAGAAATAGGATTTTTGTTATAATACCTTTCTCTAGGATCATACTATTTATATTAATTTTTAATTCATTCTATAAATAATTGTTAAGTAGTAAATAGTTCCCTAGTTACATGGATACTAATTTTACCACAAAATTAAATTAATGATTTCTGGTATGCAATAAACTATATTATTTACATGGGCCATGTTAAAAAATTAATATTTGTAAATAATGGCAGGGAGAGTAAAAAAATCTACTGAATAGTTTGCTATGAAAAAGAATTAACTAGAAACACTGTTTGAAGTGCCATCCATATGCATTTATAAGACATGTTTTTTGAGATGGGGAAGGAACGAGACAAAGTCTCAAGTCAGAATATCCTTTTCACACTGTGTACATCAAAAATACATCCTGCTTTGTGGGAGAAGAGAAGAAGGAGGGTCAAACAGTGTTACATCAATGACAAGAATAGCTGGGAAGATGCAAAATATTTAATGTTCTAAGTATTTTACATTTTGTGGCAATGCCAAAAATTTCCAAAGTATAATACACATTCAAAAGAAGCATATCTCTGTAGTTACAGATATACAAAATTAAGTTTCCATGGTCTTCAGTAGCAAGTTATTCATGCAATAATATAACAAGCAATTAGGTTAACATCTAAAAGATTTCAAAGAACGAAAAGACTTTCAAGTACATAAGAAATAATGTTAGAGAACTAAAATTAACTGTGGGCACTATTCACAATATCCAATGTAGGAAATCAGTATAGGTAACCATCAACAAATGAATGTATCAAGAAAATATGACAGACATACAAAATGGAATACTATTCAGCCATTAAGAATGAAATCCTGTCATTTGTAAGAAAATGTTGATGGAAATGGAGGGCAGCATGTTAAATAAAATAAGACAGACATAAGAAGACAAATATTGCATATTTTCTCTTACATGTGGAAAGTGGAAGAAAAAAAATCTGAAAGTAGAAAAGGAACTATTAGGGAACAGGAATGGAAAATGGAAGAGGGTAGAAGAAGGGGGGATAGAAATGATGTGAAACCCATTAATTTCTATAATCAATGTGTCAACAATTATAATAGAAGTTTTTAAATAAAAATAAACTGAAAAGGAAAGAGCGTGATTTCAAAATTTTTCCTCTTATACACAGTAAAAATATAATATAGATCTAAAGAAAACCTTCGAATATGAACAAGAACAATTTTACCATTTTCAAGGTTAAATAGAAGCTAAATTGAAGCTATCAAGTAGCAGATGAAAATAAAATGAACAATAAAACTGAACAAAAAATATTATGAATTGCATTTAAACAGATTAAAATTATTTGATCTACCATATTTTATAAATATCTGTTTATTTACAGGGACTAGAGATTTTTAAGAATATATTTATTAGGTTCCAATGGATAGTACAGAAGAGAATAAAATGATTTGCATTTCAAAACATTAAAATTATTAAATCTCCTATATTTTATAAACTGATTAAAAATATATGGTTACAGATATGTAGTTGCTGCAGGTTATCAAGTTTTGTGTAGAATGTCAGATATTTATTAGGTTTTCATGAACACCAGGCACAAAGAAAGGAGAGGAGGAGATACCAACTTTACTGTTTTAGAAAATGATTAATTCTTTGAAATAACAGCAGTTTTGTGTATATATATAGAAATGTGTGTGTGTGTGTGTGTGTGTGTATATATATATATATATATATGTATAGTATTAAGTGAGATCAATTTGAGAAAGTAGTTAAAAGTATTGATTCATCTTTATTAAAAAATATTAAATGCATTTATTGCAGTTTGGAAATTAAAATATCATCCAAGGTATTTAATCTCAAGGACTACAATCAAAACAAAATCAGACGTATTACCTCGTATTAAGCCCATGGTCTAATGCCACTAACCATGACCAAGTTTTGAAGACAATTACTTACCACATTTTGGTTAATAAGATGTGCCACGAATTTTGAAGCAGTCAGACAAAGTTGCTGAAAAGTGAAAGTAAACACAAAGTTAATCTATAAAAAACAATTTTCATTTATCTATAAAATCTGTAGTCTGTGAAGACACTTTTAAGATATTTAACACACAAGGATAATTTATATGTGAAAGTAATATATGTGAAACACTGCCATTACTGGCAAGTTACAAGTCAGGAATTATAGCCATCGTTTTTGTGACTCATAATTAGTGGTCAGAAACATTTAATAGAACCAAAAAAGTTCTCATGAAATATGGTCTTTAAAAAGCACTCCTACAATCAGCATTGTTTATTTTTGATCCTGGTTTATTAGACTCTCTATGTGACAGTCTATTTACAAGCCATCCATACATACCTTATCATTTCTTCTATAGCCTTTTCGAAAATTAAGAATTAACCTCTTGAGGATTAATTCTCCAATTTGTGGAAATTTTGAGTTGATTATTGCCACCAATGCTGCATAAACATGGGTGAAGATTGGAGAAGCACTCTGGGCTTGCAAAACAGATCTGGACAGGAGTCCTCTGTTTAAAAAAAAATAAAAATGAGTAATGAAAAAAATCAATTAATTAGGAAACAAATACTTAACATTCAGTAATATTATTACTTTGTAAATAATCCTAAAAGCTCAATCAGGACTACTTTCTCACCACTTTACCTAGGAAAAGCGTATGTCTTATTAATAAATATAAATGCCTTTAAAAAAACAGAACTTAAATTTGTACTTTTGTAAAACAGAGAGATTTTACTGCAACTTCTCTCAAAACTCCTTTCTAAACGTAATACTTCTTTTCCTAAATTTGTTACATATTAAAAAATCATCAACTTGAGAATTTTAAAGTTCAAAAAAAATAATTTAACATTTTTAAAAACATGATTAAAAAAATGACCTCTGTAAAAAGTACAAAGTTGATGTATATAAAGTTTCCAATATGGGTCCATATTTATGCAAAGTAATATTGTGATTAAAAACAAATTTGAGTTGTTTACAATTTTAAGTCTAATTTATTGGACTAAAAATGAAGATTTGGAATACTGCTATCAAAGAAAAAGACACAATAAAAGCACTGCAAGATTAATTTGAAAACAATGACAGTACAATAAAAACTCACTGAAATGAAATTCCCTAAAATTGTCATGGTATTATATGCATCTGAGGAGGAACAGAAAAGATGCAAAGTGGGATAACTGAAGTTATTTTTGGTACTATAAAGACAAATAATTACGGGATTACCAAAGGCTAGGGGAATAAATGTCTTACTTGTTAGCAGGTTTATATATCAGAACTGAATCATTAAAACAGAAAATAAAAGAACCCAGCTTACAATCTAGAAAGACCTTAAGCAATCCATGTAACTTCTTTAAGTCTACTTATTTTCTAAGATGGGAAGAGCTCCACCAAAATCTGTTAGAATAAACTTAGTATAAAGTTGAAGGATACAAAACCAACACACAAAACTTAGCATTTCTATATGTTAACAATGAATTACCCTAAAGAATTTTAAGAAAATAATCCTAATTTTAAGGACTACCAAAAAAAGGGGGGGAAAAAAAACCCCACACACAAGTTAGGAATAAATTTAACCAAAGAAGTGAAAGATCTTTACTGAACCTATGTATCACTATCAAAAGAAACTGAAGATATAAATAAATGGAAATATAGTCCATGTTCATGGATTGAAAGAATCAATGGTATAAAGTGCTTCCACTTTCCAAAGCAACTTATAAATATAATGTAATCCCTATCAAAATTCCAATGACTTTTTTTTATGAGTGTGTGGGGTGCTGGGGATTGAACTCAGGGCTTTGTGCATGCGAAGCAAGCACTCTACCAACTGAGTTATATCCCCAGTCTCCTCTCAATGACTTACTTTTTTTCCCACAGAAATAGAAAATACAAACCTGGTCATTCATATGGAACCACAAAAGACCTCAAGTACCCAAAGAAATCTTTAGCAAAACAACAAAGAGACATCACTACCCAATAATAAAATTTACTACAAAGCTATAGTAATCAAAATAGCATGGTACTGAAATAAACAGAACAGAGACCAACAGAGAACAGAACAGTGAGCTCAGAACAATACACATTTACAGTCAAAGAATTTTTGACAAAAGGTGGTAAAATGCATAATAGGGAAAAGATAGTCTCTTTAGTAGACAGAGCCGGTAAAACTAGATATTTAAATGCATAAGTATAAAAACAGACCCAAACCTTATAACATATTAAAGAAACATCAACTCAAAATGGCTTAAAGACTTATATAAGACCAAAAATACTCCTGAGGGAAAGCTCCATGGCACTGCTCTGGATGATAATTTTAAGACCCCCAAAGCATAGGTAACAAAAGCAAAAATAGATCAATAAAACTGCATCAATCTAAAAAAGCTTCTGCATAGCAAAGAAAATAATCAATAAAGTCAAGAGACAACCTAGAAGATGGGGGGAAATATCTGTAAACCATCAACTCATCAGGGGCTAATATCCAAAATAAATAAGGAACTCAAATCAATCATAAAAAAGCACAGAACTCGATTTTAAAAATGGACAAAGGACCTGAATAGACATTCTCAAGAGAAAACATACACATGGCCAAAAGATAAATGAAATGTTTAACATTACCAATCATTGGGGAAATGCAAATTAAGAATATAATGAGATATCACCTGACATCTGTTGGAATGGCTGTTCTAAGAAAGACAAAAGCCTTCAGAAGAGGGAACTCTTGTAAATTGTTATTGGGAATGTAAAATAGTCTACCCAGAAAAAGTATGGAGGTTCTCCCAAAAAATGAAAAATGGAACTACCATATGATTCGACATTCCCCACTACAAAGAATACGTAAACATTATGTCAAAGATATATCTGCATTCCCACATTCATGGTAGCATTACTTACAATAGCCAAGATGTCTATGATGAATAGACAGGAAAAGATGGTGTGTATACATATATACACATACATGTGTGTACATCATACACATACACACTCACACATAATGAAATACTACTCAGTCTTAAGAAAGAAGGCAATCCTATCATTTTAACAACATGAATGAATCAAGAGGACATTAATGAAAAGAGATAGAAGTCAGGCACAGAAGGACAAATATGATGTGAACTCACTTATATGTGGAATCTAAAAAAGTAGCACTCATAGAAATAGAATAAAATGGTGGTTTCCAGAGATTGGAGATAGGAAGATCAAGGAGATGAACATATACAAAATTTTGGTCAGACAGAAGGAGTAAATTCAAGAAAACTGCTATATATTAAAGTGACTATAGTTAATAATAATGTATAATTGCAAAATACTAAGAGTAGATTTTACATGTTCTCACTACAAAAAAAGGTAACTAAGGTGGGCTGGGTATATAGCTCAGCTGGTAGAATGCTTGCCTCTCCTGCACAAGACCCTCGGTTCAATCCCTAGCCCTATGAAAGAAAAAAAAAAAAAGGAACTAATGCATATGTTAAATACGCTGATGTAGCCATTTCACAATATATACATTAAAACATTGTCGTTTATGACAAATACAGTTTCTACCTGTTAACTAAAAAAAAAAAGAAAAAAAAGAAATTAAACTGGCTTGTGGTAGTATGTTGTAATATTCATTATTCTCAGGAGTTTAAATTATTGAAGACATTCAGTAAACAAATATTTGTGCAGAAATCATGTAATACAAAAGTTTCTCAAAAAAGAAAAAATTCCATAAGACCTTTAACAGCGGGGTATAAGTAATTTTTTAGTAGCTTATATTTTTATAAGAGCTGTACTTTTTTTTTTTTTGGTACTGAGATTGAACCCAGGGGTGCTTAACCACTGAACCACACCCCCAGCCCTTTTTATTTTATTTTTTTAATTTTGAGGCAGGATCTCACTAAATTGCTGAGGCTGGCCTTGAACTTGCAATTCTCCACCCTCAGCTTCTTGAGCCCCTGGGATTAAAGGTATGAACCACTGTGCTCAGTAAAAACTATATTTTAATTAAATATTTTCAACTACTATTAAAATGAATCAGCATAATACACCAATAATTATGGGACATAACAGATATTATGTTCCTTTGAAAAAATTACTATGAAATACTACAAATAAAATAATTAACTTACCTTCCTCTAACTATATTTTCCTGAAGAAGCTCTTGAATAATAATACTTATATTAGAAATGTTGACTTTATTGATAAGACCATTGATTGACTTCTTTAGGGCCTCCCAGCTCATCCTTTGGTATGCTAAACTAAAAAGAATTTCAATAAAAATTAAAACTTTGTCAACAATTACAATAGCAACAGGCTATTAAGTAGTTTTTTATTAACACTGTTTTCACAAAATGAGTTTTAAATATAGTAAAATATATTCATAGGATTAAACAGATTATATTAAATCTTATTTGATTTACTGTATATATAATACCAAACTACAAACCATTTCCCTTCAGTATATGGTAAAATTATGTAAAAATATGTAAGGATATTTTGATCTTATGTCCATGTTCACTAAAAAAAAAAAAACCAATTTTTTAGTGAAATTCAATGCCTGCTTATTTTGTATTATATTGCTTCACTTAAACTTGTCTTTTGTGGAAACCTTTTAAAGTAAATGCAATTTAAAAAATTTGAAACCACAATAAAAATAACCCAAATAGAGGCCACAGAAAGGAAATTTTATTATGACTCTACCCATAAAAGTATCAGAGACAACAAAATTAAATGTTTTAATTTTTTTAAAAAATGGTAATAATTACAGAAAAAGGGAAAGTCACATGGAACATTGTTCTAAGGATTTTAAAGACTACATCTGCTGAGGCAGTAGTCCTACAGCTATATACACCAGCTGAATGACAGATGGCTACAGACTTTCAATTATTTAGCCCCAAAAGTTTCATTGGGTTAAACTAAAATTTATAATGTCTTAACTTTTAAAACTTTAAAATTCTACAGATTTTATAACTATTATCTGGAATTTGATTCCAGCTGCAGAAAGTCTTAACCTTTTTCCTTCCAGACTGTTCTCTGGAAGTCTGATGAAGACAGAGGCGTCTAGAAATACAGAATTACAAAGAATATTGAAATATAGTCTTTAAAACATAGAAAATTTAAGTTTGATATAGTAATCTATGAGCTCCTTAACACATTCAATAATAAGAAGTGACAGTAGGCCAAATAACAACTTTTGTCATAGCCAAAAACCATATTAAAGATATCTACAACAGACTGTTAAGGTTATAGTCTGTGGCCTATATTCCTAACAGAAAGAAACATTAAATTTTAGTGAGATTAGTAATAACAAATACAACTTTTTTCCATTCACATTCATGGATTGATTGCCTATCCATTGACCTTTTGAAATTCTACATGAAAAATCTGCTTGAAGTAGTATACCAAAGAGGGTCAAAAATGGTGCCTGATGAGCAAGAATATTTAATCAGTGACTGTTTAAATTATCAGTAGATGGTAAGGCTAGAAGACAGACTGACTTGCAGTTCATCTAATTTTTGTTTCTAAGTTCTCTACATCTACCCTCTACTGCCTGCTCCCCAAGTGTAATACTTCCCCATCTCACAACTCCAACCCTTTTGTATGCCCTATTTCTAGAGAAATGAGACTTGTGGCTCAACAACTAGCCGAATCAATAAGATACTCCTGGTATCTAATTACAACCTCTCCCATTAAACCGATCAAAAAATTATATCAAGTATTATTATATTTCCTAAGTAGGAAGCCTTCAATTCACCCAATTATTTACTGAAACAAAAGACTAAGACTTCAGACTTCTCTTCAGATATCTAATTCTCATTGTCCTCTTTTCAGCCCTGAATAGACTTCAACTGTAAAAGTACTTTCAAGGAATCTTCTTAAAGTTGCATATAGTGCTGAATCTCCCCTTCGTACTGTACTTATAGGGAAGCAAGACTTAGATGAACAATGATGTTTCTAGTCTTTCACAATGAGGATAAAAAGCATTGGAGTGAACTGGAGAAAGTGAATACTTTTCATTAATACTGCCCCTTCTGCCTTCTGCAAGAGAATGCCTACATAATCATTAAGCTCCCATTAATAAGCCATCCCCAAATTCCTCCTCAATAGTTCAAATACGACAACCACACCTGGAATATGGCACACAAAGAGGAATTTGTTGGTTTGAATTTTATGTCATTTAATACTCCTTTCTAGTTCTTAAGGTTTTAATTTATTTCACAATCTTCATGGGTTTATTTTATGTGACATTTCTATTTCAGGCTAATTGAAATACTTTATATTTTATTTATCTAAGCCTCTCAAGTATTTTGTAAGTTGTCATTAAGACACACATGAAAAGGTATAGGGACATTCCTTGTTGGTTCACCTTGAATCTGTTTTTCTTAAAAGTGTGGCTACATTTTAACCTAATCTTTTTACTAACTTCCTGGCAACTGAGTTATGACTTCATTCTGGGACCATACTTTTCCAATTACCATCTCATTCCACTGGAGAAAAATTCTTGAAAACTTAGCTGTATTTTCCTAAAACACTTTTCACCATTTCAATTACTGTGAAAAGGGAGGGGGTATTTCTGTATAAATGTTCACATATAAATTTTGTTTGTTTACCTTTGAGTAACAGAAAAATAGTCTATTATAGTCTAAAAAAAGCAAGAAAAGGAGAAAACTGTCATCTTCATAGATTTATAGAGGGATTGGAAAACTATACCCCTAAGCCAAAACTATACCCCCTAAGCCAAAAGCTGTCCACTTCTTTTTGTAAATAAAGTTTTATTGGAACATGTCTACACTCATTTGTTTACATATTACTTATGACAGTGTTCAAATTATAATGATGTTAAATAGCTACAATACAGACAGAATGACACACAACCTAAAATATTTGTCCTGTGGCGTTTTATAGGTTTGCTGACTCCTGGTTTAATACAACTCAAAAGATTCATTTTAGATCAAAATATCAGTGGTATTTTTGATTATATATAAAAAATGTACACAATCACAGTTTTAAAAAATATTAAAATAAAAGATAAATAACTTTTTCTCAAAATTTTAAATTAATTAATTTAAAAATAATAAAGTTATGAATTAATATCCAGGTAAATTATACATAATGTTCTTGTTCAGAGTGTGGAATAAAGAAGAAAAAAGGTCTCTAATTTGAGATCTCTATTGTGGACCAATGCAAAGTCTCAATAACCAAGGTCAACTAGATCATGGTTGATTTTTTGACATATCACTGCCTGGGCAGACCTAGTATCTCAACATACCTGTTCTTATCTGTAATCTGTTCTTGCATCATTCTGAGCTTCGCAGGAGGAATATATGCTCCACCAGTGCGAGTAAGAAGAGGGTCCAATTCATCCTTCTTCTTCTTTGCAGTAGGTTCATCCTGGGAAGAACTCTGGATTACTGATGGTTCTGGGCTTCTTCTCCCAGGAGATGGGGATTTTCGGGACCTTTTCCGATCCATATCTCTTTCTCTCTCTCTGCGTTTTTCTCGATCCCTGCTTCTGTTTAAAAAAAAAATTATATATATATATATATAATTATATTTTATATATTTTCTATATATAAAAGTGGTTTAGGATGGTGAATTATGCTTCACAGAGAAAATGTAACTTATATTAGGGCTTCAAAGGCATCACAGTATTTAGACTGGGAGTATGTGGGGAAGGAGGACAGAAAGAAGGAGAATGACATCTGCAACTGGTAGAAGAGAGAATAACAACTGAATAACTGAGCATGAATATTAAAGCTAGAATGGGAAGACCAATAAACAATAAAGAATCATCATGATAATAGTTTGAAAGATGAGTTTGAGTCAGATTATGAAACCTTAAAGACAATCAAGTTTTTTATATTGGAGATGAAGAGGAATCATGAAAAGCTTCCCAGTGAGAGTGTGACATGAAAAAAAGACAACAAACTGGCCTATGGTATATATGATAAACTAGATAAAGAAAACAGTTTTATTTTCAATAATGGTAAATTTAAGTGTAAGATTGCTAAAAAAAAGTAATACTTGAAATTGCTCCTTGATAGAATTCATATTTTTATTAGAAACTTCAAAAGCATCTGATTGTTTGAGGCAATGTGGGGAAAAAATAATTTTTCTAGCCAAAATTATGCTTCCCTTTAATGTAAGTAATTATTTTTAACATTTAAAAAACAATCAGATTGCTATTTTCTCTGAAACCATCAAGAACTCACAAAACAGTCTTGACTTTTTATTATTTCCCCCCAGAGATGAGTTAGTACACTTAACTGTTTTTTTAATAAATTGTCTTAGAAACTCAGATAATTTTGTTCCTGCTTTACACAATAAGCTATACATACATAAATAAAAGTGAGTTTCATATCATCACAGCATCACTGAAAGACTTTAGATAAATCAAGAGGATATGTTTGAGATGATTTGTTCTGAAATAACTTCAATTTACATGGAGAGAGAAAAGCAATCACCTATCCAGGCTGCTATGAAGGAAGAGTTCTGAGTGACTGCCAATAAGGACAGAGACAGTATACACTAAAGCTGAGTCAAAAGGGGAAAAGTGGTTTCAAATATAAATCCCAATTAGACACAAATATAGATGCTCCAAATTCTATCCATTGATTTGCAACTGAGTTGCTTCTTACTGTGAATAGTTCTTCTGAGAAAAACCACTTCAGATGGCTAGCTATCACACCCTTACAATTATTGTGTTTGTTCTTTTATAGTGCAGAAGGAATAGAATATTCTTAGTCTAAATAGAAATACCTGTAATCTTCAAATGTTTCTGGTGTGTTAGCCCTCATATTTTAGCCTGCTTGTTTCACAATGTGACTGTGGGTCACATGAGACTTTATGTTCATACATTGGACCACACATAAGGAGTTACACTACGGAAGTACACTCAAATGTTGCAAAAAGACATAGGCTCTGGAGTCAGAAATGAGTTCCAGTCCTAGTGTCTATATCTACGAGATAGGTAACTGCAACTGTGGTTGTTACTTAATTACTTCAAATCCAATTCCTTACTTGTAATTTTTAGAAAAAAATAGTATTAACTTTGTATGAGTTTTGACAGTATGAGAAAGTATGCAAAATCCTTAGCTTAACAATTATGTTGGAGTAGTTGTTTTTATTGTCATTAACGTAATAGCTGATAGGCCTGGCTTTTGGAGGCTAATTTAATCTGACATTTTAAGATTGGGTATAAATTAGAATGTATTGAGAAGGATATTTTGACTGCAGATATTCAATAATGTACTCAGCTCCAAATTGCAGAAGAATTTGATCAAAATTCTAGTGGTGAGTTGGTTAGTCCTGGTGGTTATGGAATGGATAGTAAGAGATAGATCACAAAGGGCACAGACCTTAGTGAACAAAAACACACAGCAGAAAAGTTTTTGAAACTGGAGAACTAACAAGGCAAACAGAAAAATCAGGACAGCTGGTTTTATGAAAATGATAACAAAGGTCTATAAACAGCACATATAGTGATATGAAAATAGTTGTTGGAGAAAAACATGGAATATGAGGACAGTTCTTAATACTAAAATAATAATAAAATTTATCAACTATCACTTTTTACATTAGGAAATCTGAATTGTTACACTTTTTCCCCCCACTGTTTTTAGTGGTGCTAAGGATCAAATCCAGTACCTCACAAACCCAGTGCTTTACCACTGAGCCACATCCCCATTCCACTACTTTCTATATGCTACTCAAAGTGAAATGGTTCACTGCTTATCACTACTCAAATAGATATGCTAAAAAAACATTTTTAAAGTTATCATTTTCTGAGTATTTACTACGTTCAGACATGGTAGTAGGTGACAAATTAGTTTTAAACCTAAAACACCAGAAAAGTCATGTTATCACATTAATTTTATACAAGAGGAATCTGAGGATCAGAAGGAAGTTGGTAAGAAACTAACAAATTTGCATAACTAGAGTTAAGATCTGAATATGTATGACTATGAAATCTATACGTAACACTGCCTCATTAAATAGAATAAGACACAGACATCCCAAAGTCAATTTCAAATGACTAAATTGTCTACATTACTACTTCTCTCATAAGCATGGATATGTGTAAATTAAACTGAGTAGTATATTTGAGTATCTACAAAGTGACTTCTGTTTCAAGAAGTTGAGAATATTCCCACTTTCTGCAGAGTTTCAGTTAAGCTTTTTTCCTTATACTAAGCATGCCCAGTACCTGCCGACTTTCTTTGTGGCACCTATTACTTCTAATTGAGGATTTCTTTTCCCAGATGCATTAAGTAACTTTTTTTTCTATACTATGTTTTCTCTTGAGCAAATACAAAGAATTTTTACTTATGTTTTTAAAGTGAATTCTCAAATGCTGATTCCTGTCAAATATTCATTATAAAAATTCTTACTAATTTCTCTGAGAGAAAAAGAATTAAAACAAAAATTAACAACACAGATTATAATAGTCTGCTTAGTTTTGAATGTAACATGAATGGTACATAGGTTTGTCTCTTAAATATCACCCTTAGAAGATTCCGAACACTCTCATTCCAATGTTTTATGCACTGGAGAAGAGTTTACCTGTCCTCCATTTAGTTTTCTCATCTATCTCTTAACCACATAAATCTTGTAGGTCCTGTTGCTAGATGAACATACAGGTAGGTAGCCAAGTTCTCCAAAACTCAAGTAAAAATCATATACATTTAGAAAAAAAAAATCTGCAAATTAGTAACTTCATTCTCAATATTCCTAAGCCATAGGCACGAAAGAAAATTTAGATCACTGTCATAACATAAATGTATTTGATTTAGTAAAACGACTCCCTAAAACAATCACATAAAACAATCCTTCTTGCTGTACAATATAATGAATAAAACTTAGGCCTTATGTCAGATCTAGTGTTTGCCACTATTATTTCTGAAATACAAACTGCTACTCTCTAGGCCTCAATTTCATTAGCTATAAAGCAAACATAACAGTTCTTACTTTCCAACTGACTATAGTAAGGAGTTAATTTACATGAAGTCCTTATTAGAAAGCCCGGCACATAAAGACATCCAATTAATGCTAGTTGCTATTATTATTGTTTTTATCATAAAATAAATAAAATTAAACCAATTTTTCTATAGTTAAAATTCCCAATACTAACCGTGATTCCATGCCACCATCATAAGAATGTCCTCTTCTTGAATGCTCATAGTCTGACCTGCTATAATCAAAGTAATCTCTATCCCGAGGAGACCTTTCTTGTTCTGCATATCTAACATATAAAATAAGAAAGCCAAAGTTGTAAGTTGAAAACAATTACCTTATAAATATTTAGGAGAGTAGCTAAACCACCTTTATGATTGCACATATTCTCAAACTGGTTTCAAGTAACAATTTATTTTGCTAACACCCATTCAGTCAGAATTACAAACTTTCAGCTTGTATATAGCAAAATGCCTGGAATTCACTTAACCAAACTTGTTCATCTTGTTTCACATTGTCCTGAGAGAAATTTATGGGGAAATCAATTATAATTGTCAGGAAGAAGACTATCCTACAAATAATTTCTTTTACTTACCTGGTTCATTTATCAAAGCACTGAACAAATGAGACCAATGTCATTGGTTGGGTCTCCATAAGGCTCAACTCTACTGCAAAAGACTATATTTTATTCTTGAAATTGTATAACTAGATAATAGTGAGAAAGGTTGGAAATTATTAGCAAACAAGGGTTCATTGCCTTAGATCCATTATGTGAGTCTTTAAAGTCAATAAAATCAGAGAATTTTATGAAAAGTTATATACATTACAAATATGGATATTAACATAATTCATATTTTATATACACATCTACAATTAAGGTATGCATACATGTATATTGTTTGTGTTCGTGTGTGTAGAGACAGAAATAAATATCTATGTATAAGGATGTGTGAATGAGTATATATGTGAGTATAGAATATGTGATAGGTGGAAGACAGTGAGTAGTCCACAAACCAGGGAAATAAACTTGGTGTTTATAATGCAAACTTTTTGAAAGATTTAGCAAAGTAGAATAAGAATAAAGTTTATAGAGAGTAAGGATGCTTTTCCTTCCAGAAATGTTTTCCTTTAATTTTTTTTGTACTGGGAATTGAACCCAGGGGCACATTACCACTGAGCTACATTCCCAGGCCTTTTTATGCTTTTGTACTTTGGGACAGGGTCTCTTTATATTGCTGAGACTTGCCACAAACTTGTGATCTTCCTGCCTCAGCCTCCCAAGTTGCTGGGATTATAGGCATGGACCACTGCATCTGACCAGAAATTCTTTTTAATAGTTACAGCTTACTAAGATAAATAATATAGTCACAACATGAATACATGGTGAACATATGGTAACATTTCTGGATTGTTAAATCTTAATTATAATAAAATGATATGATGTATATAAAGACATTTTGTAAACTATACAGAGCTATGTAAAATAGAAATGACAGCAGTAAACACCAAAACCAGTGTTTCAACATCCACCCTAAAATTAGGAAGCTAAGCGCTAAATTACTGCACAAATTTATTATAAAAAATTTAAATTACACTTAGAACATATAAAGCTTATTTACCTGTCTTCTGGAGAAGAGGTCCTCTGATATGAATTATAGTTTTCCCTTCTGTCATGACCAGAAGAATGCTTTCAAAGGGAAAAGAAAGGAGTAGCAAACATTTTCTTAAAAATTTATGTTAAAAAATATATAGATAATGAAATACATGTCTCAGAAAATTGCCAAGCACTTTGGCTCACATTTGTGGTTATATTCAAGTCTTATAATACTGCTTTAACCCCAATCTTCCCTATATGAAAAACACAAATAGTAAAGATTACTGTAGATGGGTAAAATAAAGAGCTAGGAGAAACAAACTCTAACTCTATATTTATAAAAATTCTTTTATTTTCAACAAACATTATTTGAGCATCCAAATGTGTAGTGCCATGTCAGACTCTAAAAAATTTAAAACAATAACAACTCAACTCTAAAGAAAAACATCCTATGCCAAATCCTCTGAAAAAGAACTAACATACAAATAAATAACTTCATGTAACTTAGGACTGACAGGACATGTGATATGAGACAGATATAAATCAATTCAATTTCAACACATATCCTAATTAAAAAATCCAAATACATTAAGAGGCCAAAACACTTATTTTTACTCAGACATACATGCGAAATTTTTTATACAACTAGCCAACATTGGTATTGACAAGCTTTTTTAAAAAATTCAAATAATTCTTTTTTAGTAGTGCTGGGGATTGAACCTAGGCCCTTGTGCATGTGAGGTAAGCACTCTACCAACTGAGCTATATCCCAGCCCCTCAAATAATTTTAATAAATCTTAACTTGAAGAAAAAAAGTATTTGTTAAACAATTGATCTTGAAATCTAAAAACAGAACATATCAAACAATGAGTTGTGTAAACTTACATGCTTGCCTCTTTAATGAGAAAAAGATACATTTCAAAATAGAAACTTGTTCTGAATGGAAATGCCAACAAGCTCTAACTTCCTCTGATTTTGTGATTATCAAGTTAACAGCAGTATGAATCTAATATTATCACAAGTAAATGGCTGATCTCATCAACTATTGAATTTTTGAATAATGTACGCTAACTAGACTAATCTATGAAGAAACATGAAATAATAATTTAAAGTAGCCATAGTTTTGCTATTATTTTACACTAAATGCAAGCATCTTAAGATCTAAATATGATGCATGGTGATCAATAATAATAACATTATTGAATACACACACACACACCCCTAACAAAGTTTTTAATTTACTTATTACCACAATAAAGTAGAACTGTTTAATGACATAGGTTTTTATAAAACTTTACATCAAGATCCTAAGCCAAGGGCTGACAGTAGTAGGGCACATGCTTAGCATGCATGAGGCCTTGTGTACAAGCCCCAACACCCAATATAGGGGAAAAAAATCCTAAGCCAAATATAGAGCAAAAAATCCATCCCATTCAGGGGTAACATAAGACATAGCCCTTCCTGTGTAGATATTCTAAAGGAGCTTATGATCTATAAGATCTCCACAAGTAAATATATTCTTTAGATATTCCAGAAAAAGTAAATATATTCTTTAGATATTCCAGAAAAAGAGAGAGAATGATTAAACTGCATTATCTACTTTTTCTTTTACACAGCCAGACAATTATTTTGACTACATTAGGGAGAAGGCCTCAATTCTGTGGTAATGATTTTTAACACATCTCTGCAACATCTGTTGTGAATAAGGGGAAAGAACCAAAAACACTGAAAGAGAAGAATTTCTTCAACGTGATCAAGTAAAAAGGCACAGACAGTAAGTACTGTAACAAGAGACCTTGAGTAGAAAATAATCACTGGGGCACATAGCACTGAGCAATTACAGTAGGACTTGAATTCAGCTTTGATGAATGAATAGGATTTCACTAAGTTAAAAATCATAATATAACTATATTATGATTTTTAACTTAGTGAAATAATCCAAATATTAAGAATCTGAATTTCCCTACTTCCCTTATAAGTTTAGCTTATAAGTTAGAATAATAGTTAATGAAAACAGTCAAAATTACCTTTAAAATTCTGCAAATTATTCATTAAGGAAAACAAATATGATGACACTATGCAGTCACTCATGGTCTCTAGCAATGTAGAGAGCAGTGTGAAGAGGCAAGTGGAATAAGAGCCTAAGTCCAGTGGCTGTGAGCATCCAACAGGCTCAGGAAAGAGGTTTCCAAAAGCAAAGGAAGTCAGTTAGCCCCATGCCAGTGGTGATATGAAAGCACAGGCTGGATGTCTACATACCATGGAGGCTAAAGGTTGTTCTCTTAATATATAACAGGATGGAAAAGATGGCAGCATAGGCACTTTCCATGTACCAGACCTTGTCCCTACTTCCTGCTGCCAAGTAGCTTGTAGTTTGCTGGTTCTCTTTAAAGAAGTAAGTTTAGGGTACAGAGCTAGTGGAGGAGAGGAAGGGAGAAGTATTGATTTTTTATGAAAATATACCCTCCCTTTACTGACTCTGAGCCTAAGAAGTGTTACAATTGAAAAGAGGAGAAGGTTGACTAGTTTGCTTTCCTGCCAAGACCACTCACAGGCAGGAGAGTTTTGAAAGCACATGGAGTTACTCTCCCTGGTACTGTTCTACAACTCTTTCTACAACTCTTCCCAACCCAGAGAAGTTCCAGCCACAATAGACTCTTTGCTTTTATACTTGCTGTTCTCTCTTCCTGACACACTCTTCCCTCAGGTACCTGCATGGTCAACCCTCTTTTGTCTTCTACATGCCTCCGCTCAAATGGCTACCTTTCTTTTCAATGGGCCTCTACACTAACCTGCCTATTATAAGCTATAATTTCTTAATGCCACAAATATCCATACTCTAGCTTATTTCTTTTCTCCATAGCAGAAATCAAGTACTTAAAACTCTAACATACTATATAACTTATCTATGTATTAAGTTTATGGTTTATTTTCTGTATCCTCACACTAGAATATAAACTCCATGAGAACAAGGATTTGTTTTGTTCACTATTTTGCTCAATAGCTTAAAAAGTGTCACTGCAACATTATAAGAATTCAATATACATTTGTTGAACAAATATAGCATATTTGTTCAACAAATGAAATATGAAATATGCAGCAAGAAGCTCACATTATGCAAAGATATACAGGGACCTACACCACTGAAGGAAGGAAATACCTGCCTTCCATGTCACACTCATTCAGGGAAACAAATTTCTTAAGAATGATGGTGGAATCTCCCGTCATTTGGTACATATTTTCTTTTGCATGTGCTCACACATGATTTGTAGACACACTGATGTATGCACACACATGCACATACACAAACACACACAAAGAAAACATTTCATATATTCTTTCACACATAGTTACTATTGTCTGGCCAAGTAGCTACCTTTAAAACTGTGTGGAGTTTGAAGCATGTATAATATCACTCTACTATCTAATTCTAATGCCCCAGTTATGTAAATGCACTGTTGTTTAAAGGATAGGTAACTAACTATAAGTTTGCATCTTCTATCAAGAGTTTCAAACACTTACTTTTATCTGTGCCACACTGCTTTTCATTTTCTATTGCCAACTAGTCTGATCAAAGAATCGTTCCTCAAGTTGGTCCAAGTAATAAGTACACAATAGTTTGGATTGCTGGACAGTTTACTTTTTCTGTCTGCAAACATCACCTATAAAATAAAGCAAAGAAAGCTTTGTTAACAATGATAAATTGTGTATAAAATAATGATATATTCTTTCCACATATTAGACTTTTGAACACCTAATTTTTCTTAATCAATAAGAACAGATATAATCAATAATAACAAATTTAAATCCCTAAATAGTTCCACAAAACAATGTATACCTAGCACATACTACTGAAAAAGATGCCACAAACAAAAGAGCACATAGGCTTTATTATAAAGACAGAACAAATTAATTTAAAAATAGTATAACTTTATTAAAAATGCTCTCAGTGAGGATACCTATATGATGTAATAGTACCATAGTATTATAAAAAATGAACTGAGGAAACAGTCATAGAAAAACAACATAAAGGGAGTATAAAATAGCCAATGTTTCTACATAAACTAAGAATGAAGTAACTGATGCTCAGGCAATGATAATCATTCAGAAATAAACTGACTCCATAAGATATATAAGGTACTAAACTAAAATAATTGCCTCAACGTGATCTATTAATACTTCAGATAAATATGCACATTTGAGAACTAAATATTTGGCTCCAAATAAACCTACTCATCATTAAATGCTAAAATGTCTTTCTATAAAATAAATTTTAGCAATTTCTGCAAAATGCTATGTTATATTTGCATAAAACTGCCATTTAAGCATTTTATTGGAATTACAAACTCAAATGATTTATGGTGTGAGGTAAAGAAAGTATAAAAATAAAATTAAGTAGAATTAATACATATACAGAATACAGAGAAAGGACTGTGTTCAATACCAAAGTAACTGAATAACTAGGAAAAAGATTTTTAATTTGAGGACTAGAAAATCTATTATCTGGTCTATTTTATTCTTTTTAAAGATTGGAACACTAAAAGTCAGACAAGTCATTTCAACATTCTAAATGATAACATCAGTTAGTGGTGGACCTATAAGTAGAAACCCAGGCTAATGACACCTAGTTATACATTCTTTTCACACATATGAATAATTTTGACACTGTAAGTGAAAAACAGCTACTATCATTTATGGGGATGTACACAAATCATTAAGTCAAATGGTCAGCATGGAATCCAGGTTAATAAAAGCAATATATATATATAATTCTTTACAAACTTATTAATCTATGAAATATCATTGAAATCTAAAAGCATATTACCACTTATGTATCTACAGCTACAGTTCAACAGATTAACGTGCCTAACTGTACATAATGAGTTCATATGAAGCCTCTTTCTTTTGACTAGTTACTACGGCAATTGTGGGCAAAGCTTAGTCTTATTTTTTGGCTGGCAAGATGTCCCAAATATTTGTATTTTTCTTCAAGGAATGACTATAATCTTAAATCTTAACAACCACATCAACCACCGGTCTATCTAGTACCTTATTATGCCCATAACCATAACATTATTGTTTGAACTCAGTTTCAGAGTAACTTTTCCTACCAGGGTCTATACCTCAGGTAGACAACTGAAAAAAAAAAAAACTCAGAATAAGTTACATTAAACATGTTATAAAATCAAATTTGATGGTAGTAGTATGGAGAGGAGAAATATGCTCCCCTTCCTTAAATAGCCTATTTAATATAATGCAAGAATTACAATCTTAATAAATCTGTGTTAACAAATCAGATTATAAAAATAAGGGCTGAGGATGTAGCTCAGTAGTAGACTGCTTGCCTAGCATGCATGAGGCCTTAAGTTCAAGACAGAAAGAAAGTTTCAACAGGGAAAAAGGAATGTAGAGACTAAGAAAATTCAGACAAATAATAATTACACTATTTGGGGGGCTGGGGATGTAGTCAATGGTAGAGCACTTGCCGCATGTGTGAGGTCCCAAGTTCATGTCCAACAATACAAATAATAGTAATAATAACAAAACACTATTTTCTTATAAGAATCTAAATAATAAAGGTGTTTTGATTTCCAAGACCACTGTAGCTTATTTGGCATGTTTTGTGCAAATTTTTAAAAAGGGTACCTATAGTTTCAATTTAAAAATGGCTATGTAGTTCCTACTAGTGCCAAACCTTTCAAAGATAACAACTATAAACTCTTCACAAAATACACTACAATCTGAAGGCACTACAGAGAATAAACAAGAACAGGCTAATTGTGGACAGGAGTAGATGCCTAGGAGAAAGGAACATGAGGAAGTTATCTTCCATGTTATGACTGTAAACTTGAGTGCAAGCTGCAGTCTGTACCAAGCATGGCAGCCAAAAACTAATAGAAAAACTGCAGTCATTCTCATTTGAAGAACAGTCTGAGGTAACCACAATTGTTGGAAAGCAAAGAGGAATCAGAGGGGAGACAGCCAGAAAAGGGAAGCCTCCAGTGGCATGGTATAAACTCTCCCCAAATCTCTATCTGCCTCTGAACCAAAACATGAAGAAAGCAGATTACTTCTGAACCAGCTCAGGACACTAGAATTTGCAATTTAGTTCAACTAAGTCAACTGCTTAAAAAGTCACCACTTCTCAGAATGTAACAGCATTCAAAGTCTCTATAAGTAACAGTATCCAGGATAATATTAAAAACAACTTATTAAAGAAAGTAGCTCAGTTTCAAAAGATAATCAGAGGAAACCAATCCTGAAATGATACAGATACTGGGGTTAGTATAGAAGGTTCTAAAAGTAGGGTTTTGAAAACATATGGAAAGATACAATAGGGGGAAAAACTGCCTGGGGGAATTTCAGCAAAGAAAAATAAATGAACCAAAAAAACTCAAGAATTGAAAGATATATGAAATATAAAATTTACTGGATATGCTTAGAATAGATGAATGAAAATAACAAAAAGTCAGGGGACTTGAAAATAAATTGACTGAAAATACTCAATCTAAAGAACAGAGAGAAAATATTTATAGAAATGTGGGACAATATTGAAAGGATCCTCATATGTGTAAATAAAAAGTCCAAGAAGCAAAAGAGAGAAAGAATAAGGAAATTTATTTTGAGAAACAGCAGGCAAATTTTCCCCAAATTTGTTGGACAAACCTAAATTTACAGATTGTAAAAGCTCAGAGAACGTAGGATAGGATAAATATAAAGAAAACTACAATCACACACATATTCATCAACATAAATCAAAATATAGACAAAGCATCAGAAAGCAATCAGAAACTTTCATATTTTGGAGCTTTGCAGGTTTCAGATTTTTAGATTAGGGACGGTAGAACAGTAAAATGCAAATATTCTATGCAAATATTAAAACCCCCCAAAAAATATCCAACTTTATAACACTTCTGATCTCAAGCATTTCAGAAAAAGGATCCTCAATCTGGAGTCAAACTGTTGAGGATCAAAGATAATGAGAAAATCCTGAGTAGTAAGAGGGAAAAAAAAAAAATCAACACATCACATATAATTCAAATTATAGTCATTACTTAATATTGTAAACGGTGTGCTCAGTCACCATGTTAAAAACCAATATGAATTACAGCTAACTTGTTATATAAAATACGAATGAACAAATCTTTCCAGTTAACAAAAGCTACTTCTCTCTCACCTTGGGTAGACACAACTCTGCAGGGACAATGCTTATCTTGGCTGGATTTTAGGTTCCACTTGCCTCAACAAGATGACTCTGTGCCATACATAAGTAGTATGACTCCCTTCAAAAGTCCTGTTTTTATGGCTTTAAAGGTATAGATAGAGCCATAAACTAGAAACTTAACTAAATTCTGCCCAAAAGCAAAGGATTTTTTTCTATCTCTATCAGCACAATCATTGGGTCATTTCTAAATTCTTAATACCTTTATTATGCATTAATACATAATTCATGCAACCACAAAAAATATTTACTGCCCCTCTAGTATTTGCCGAGTGGCGGGTTGTACTTTTTTCTACATGTCAGTTTCAGATCATTACTTAATATTCCAAAACTGGTCTGCCAAGTCACTATGTTAAAAAACAATTTGAATGATGAAACTTACACGATAGGGGAATTACTTGTACGTGTATTGGAGCCCATCTAATATACTAAATCAGAAGACAGGGGATGGGAGAAGAGAAGGCTCAGGCCTACTTGTTTTATGAAAACATTCCCAAGATAATTCCAATATCCAACTCATCCCCAAGTCTCTTCAGCTCTACAATTCTGAATCAAAAGTACACAGTTTCTCAATTTTCTTAGGCCATGAACCACTTAGGTATAACACAGGGCCCCCACAGTCTAACTCCTTTATAGTAAGAAACTTAGTCATGGGCTGGGGATATGGCTCAAGCGGTAGCACGCTCGCCTGGCATGCGTGCAGCCGGGTTCAATCCTCAGCACCACATACCAACAAAGATGTTGTGTCCGCCGAGAACTAAAATAAATAAATAAATAAATAGATAAATAAATAAATAAATAAATAAATAAGAAACTTAGTCATAAGCTAACTGGAAAGAAACATCCAAGTTTCAAATGTATTATCTTTACCAATTCACTGGTAAGAAGTCTGCAGATATATATAAAAGAATATGTGTATCAGTGGGGCTGGGATTGTGGCTCAGTGGTAGAGCGCTCGCCTAGGAGGGCAGGACCGGGACTCAATCCTCAGCACCACATAAAAATAAAGGCATTGTGTTGTGTCCATCTACATCTAAAAAATAAATAAATATTAAAAAATAAGAATGTGTGTATCAGTGATTTTTATAATTGAGAAATCATGCTGTAATTTATGATCACTTTTATAATCTTATTCAGTCCTCATAATTACCTTGATTGGTGGTTTTAGCCTTATTTTTCAATGGCAGAACTAAGTTACTGAGAGTTGAAACAATCTATCCAAGTAAACCATGTCTAGTAAATGGTAGAGCTAAAATTCAAACCTAGGTTTATCAGATGCTTAAATCATTTAATATTGTATCTCAAAGGATCCCAAATGTCAAATTGATAAATTATAAAATGAAACAGGTACAGTCTGTACTATCCAGAAAACTTCCTTATTCTAAATGTATCCATTCCTTTCAGATAACAAAGACTATAGTGCTAATATAATGAAGCACT